AGTATCTGGGTTCTCAAGGTGGGCAACGCGCTTGGTGAAGGCCCTTGAATCACGTGGGCTGGATCACTCAGGAACGCCGACAATATTGTGGAGGACTTCGTAGCGATGAAGTAGTTTCCTAACAGTTCTGCCTCGTTTCCAGCTGAGGCAGTTAATATTAATACACGATGCATCCCATGATACCCGGCGGTCGATGCTGCTGTCGGAACGGATAAATATTAGTAACTTGCAGATGACAGCGCAGAGCATACGGCTCTTAACCTATTGATCGATGCCCTGCTCAAGTTATCGTTTGATAAGAGAGACGGATAGGTGAGTATCTATTGCAACAACGGGCAACCGAGGCCTATGCAATCAACATGTGGATGGTGAGTTGAATCAAAACTTCTTGCTAATATCTAGCATGTACTGCACTGTAACTATCTATTACCCTGTGCAGGAAGGTGGTACTGCTTCTTCCACCCTCCCTGCGCCATCTCCACAAAAGCACCTGCTACGCCGAGAGCCATCCGGCACATGGCCTCTGAAGCATACAGCCTCAAGCCCTGGCAGCTAGTCCCATTTCCCTCCCCATTGCACAGAAATCTGAATTTCGTATACCTGATCGACAAGGACCGAGGACTGTTGACGGTCACGCAATGGAGAACAACCGACGGTTTACGAACCCGCCTGATACGCCAGGTCAAGCTTGTGGAAATCTACGATCCTTCGATCCGCACGTACTGAAGTCGGCCCTCGCCGATAAGGGGAATGCCGTTGAGCAGTTTCGCATCCCCGTTATTTGCACCATTCTCCCATCGAAAACGAGACTGTGCCAGATCAGTGACCTGAGGCGAGGACATTCAACTCTGCCTGAGGCATTGGATGTTGTCGCAACAAGAACGAGGACCACACACCCGCGACAAGTTCACGGATGGTGAAACCCAAGAGAAGAAAGTCTCCATGGGGCTTGTAGGGAACTGTAAGTCTTGGAGTCCTAGCTCGTGATGTGGGGAACGACACTGGGAAGAGAGTGAGTGGAAACACCCTTCTTCGTCGGAAGAACCCAGCCAGCGCTGGTACTTGGTGAACTAGTCCCTCCAGAACAGCGGTTTGCTTCAAGCAAAGAGGCCGGCTGTGGCTTGACCGTTCCCACTTACGAGAATGCTGTACTGAGGCGAACGCGGTGTCCGATCACCAACGCATCGAGCGCATCTTCTAGTCCGGAGTCTTGGGGTGAGCGCCATCTTTCCGGAGGATGAAGCCTCCGAGTCAACCCTTGCACTTATCATATCGACAGCGGTAGAACCTCCGTCCGAATTAAATGATGTATAGAGGGTGGCAAGTCTACCCGCGCCTCGCCTTCACCGACCGCCACTCAATCCCCAAACTCCCCACCACCGTCGCACATGCCAGCCCAACAACCAGATACCACGTCTGGACAATACTCCGATCGATCGCCCGGCGCGCCTCCGCCGCTTTGTCTAACGCCAGCCCCGTCACGATCTGCGTCAGCCCCATGCGATCCACCTCCGCCGCACTCAGCCCGGGCACCACCTCCCCCAGATTCCGCGACAGCTGACTCACGAACAGCACCTGCGCGATCGCCACCGCGACTGCCGGCCCGAACGACTGCGCGAACAACATCACCGACATGCCCAGCGGGATATCCTCCGCCGGGAGAACGGTCTGCACGGCGTTCTGCGGGCCCGAGAATCCGATCCCGTATCCTAATCCAGAAAAAGCAGTGTAGATGATCAGCTGTGCGAGGCTGGTGGTGAGTTCGAAGGTGGTGATCAGCCCTGCCGCGACGGGCATGATGATCGAGGCGATCACCATGAATGGGGCGTAGTAGCCAAAGACACTCGTGCCGAAGCCGTGGACCAAGGCGCCGATGGTGCCTGCGATGATGATGGGCAGCATCATGTACCCGCTCTGGGCCGGGGTGTAGCCCCGCACGACTTGGTAGTAGGTGGGCAGGTAGTATTCGAGGACGTTGCCGGTGCTGTTGCCGCACATGATGAAGGTGCTGCCGGCGATGATGCTGCGGTGTTTGAGGATGCGGAGGGGGAGGGCGGCCGTGTCGCCCTGGCGGTGTTGGTTGTAGATGAAGCCGCCCATCAAGACGGTAAAGGCGACAAGGGGTCCGATGACCGGGCCGCTAGACCAGGGGTACTTGGTTCCGGCCCAGGAGAAGGCCAGAAAGAGGCTGGCTAGGGCGGGGATGAAGAGGAGGTTGCTGAGAAGGTCGAGCTGGGAGAGCTTTTGCTTGGAGGTAAAATGGGCGGTGTGGTCGGGTTTGGGCGGGTCCGAGAAGCAGCACGTCGTCAATAGCAGGGTAACGGCGCCGATGGGCGCGTTGAGGTAAAAGCACCAGCGCCAGCCGAGGGATTGCACGATCGCTCCACCGAGGAGGGGTGCGGAGAGCGTGGCCAGCCCTTCGACGGCGCTCATTATTCCTGTGAACATGGGCCGTCTGTGGAGAGGTGTGGAGTGGACGAGGATCACGAAGCATCCAGCCAGTAAGCCCGCCGTGCCGAGGCCGGCGACTGCCCTCCCAAAGATAAGCATGAGCGATGTCGTGGCCGCACCGCAGAGCAGTGAGCCTGCTATCGAGATGGCATTGGCGAGCAGGAAGACACGCTTGATTGAAAAGAGCTGGTACGCTCTACCAAAAACAAACTGGAAGGCGCACTGGCAGAGCCGGAAGGCGGAAGAATACCAGCCCACATCGGCAATGGTGTGGAAATGGTCGGTTATACTGGGAACGGCTGTGGCAACAATGTTCATGTCGATGCTGATAAGAATGAGGACCGCAGCCAGGGTGAGCATGAGCAGCCAGAATCTGGTGCCCGTTGGGTACTCGGGTTCGCCAGTCGGATCAGATATCCCATCGAATGTGGTATCCTGTCTGCTGGGAAGATTGGCGTCCCTGTTGCTGTCTGATTCGCTCATGGTTTGAGTCATAATATGCAGGCTTCTTTGTCAAAACAGTTTGATCAATGAAAACGCTACAACTGCTGGGGACTGGGACGCTCCGGTCGGTCAACGAGGCTTGATCGCCTTGGCAAGGGTGATTACTAACAATGCATGCAGCCTCGTGAGGACATTATAGTCCACTCAATTATACCCAACTTACAGTACAGAAGGCGATCCCTCTCAAGCCTTTTGGCTTAAATTCCACATCGAAGATTGGGTTTGCATACGATGTTCACATCTTCATCATATCAGACTGCTGAGGTGACTCCCTTGTCAATCAAACCCAGTCCAAAAGCCCAGCCAGCACAGCACCAACCGCCGTAATCAACGGTGCATAACCCCAGTGACCCCATTGTCCCTGCCCCCATGTCCAACAGACCGCCCCATCGGCATAGGCCACTGCACTCCCAGCCAGCAACGTCCACCCGAGCGACTTTCGCGTCCCGTAGAAGGAGGCGGCGTAAATGGCGAGGCCCATGAATATATCGCGGACACCGTAGATGTGGACGAGGCTCTTGACCAATTGTTGCTCGGGGAGTGTGGTGGGGGGTGCCCATTCGAAGAAGGTCAAGGCATGCTCGGGGCGGAGAAGCGCGTTGACCCCGAACCCAATGAAGATGGTGCCGAAGGCGTTGGCGACGTGGGGGAGCGCGGTGTGTTGGGAGAGCGGCATTTTCTGGTAATCAACCGGTGATGAAGCTAGAGAATGTTGGTGATGGACTGAGTGGTTTTGGTTTGACCGTTCTGTGGAATGATGAGTGGTTGGTTGATGGATGCAAGATAAGGATGAAGAGGGACAGTCGATGACGGGGACTGAAAGAAACGACCGGGCGGTGACGGTGACCACCAACTAGTTACGACTACCTACATTCCCTACTGTGGCAGCCTTGCGGAAGGCCACCACCAAGGAGAGTAAGCAGCCAAAACATGGATGTCAAAAACCTTCACTTGACAGGTCGCAAATATTTTTCTACTGATATTCTCCGCCCTCTTCAAGTTTGTATAGATCTCTACATCGTCATCGTCAAGTTGCTCCACCTGACAGAAGTGGGACTACCCGTCCGGTCCAGTTTGTTATCGTCCGATCCACATTCTACGGGTGCCACTGCAGTGACTGCACACATCATCCTGCAATCTCACCAGCGGCAAAGGTCCCGACCGTATGGAAGCCACATTTTCCGACTCTCAAATTCTGATCACATCCGTCGGGTATCCTCTGGTCCATCCAGCCTTGTGACAACACCCGGAACTCTCTATGAGGTCCAGATCCAATCCTGTGAGGAAGCATGACAACGCGATCCAATGCCTCGAGCGGGGTAATGTGAACCTTGCCCACGCCATCCCAGAGCCCACCCTCTCAAGGCCTCAAAGATACCGCCGTGCATCTGCAGGAAATCAATAGTTCCTGCAACTTCTTATCAGCTGCTGCGCTAGTTCTCCGAAAGCAATCACAGCGGGGGCGGGCGTGTAACATTGCCGTTGATTGGGTTCCTGGTGACGCGAATGGGGATGCCTTCACGGCTAACTAATCCTCCATCCCAGTACCTGTCGTGGCTGATGGCCCTTTTCGGCGAGCTGCAGATCCAGGACGCCGTCGCTGCTGGCCTCATGTGGATCCCAACACTACATCCAGTGGTGCTGTCCCTGAGCAAGACGTCAGACCAGATGCCCGGAGGGTCAACTTCCATCTGCCGAATCCACCAATGACCACGGGAACACGGTGTGGAACGTGCATAAGCGGCTGCAGCCATGCTGGAGACGGCACACGACGGGCGCTTAAATGTATTTTTAACCCTCCGCCCATTGGGTTCCGTTTCCTCGGGTCCTCGACTTTTGGGATCTATTGGCTGTGGTCGTAGGGGATTTGCTATCATTAGATTTCCGAAAATAACCCAATTTGGGGGAGATGAAGGGGGGCCGCGTTGGTCTGCCTCCGTCACCGGGCTTACCCCTCTTTGAACCCTGACCATCAACACACAGGGTTATATTTCCTGCATTGCCTGCCTCCTCAGGCCGTGATCTTCATGTTCTTTGCCCAACTGTCAGTGTGGCCTGGACTTGAAAGTGGTCCTACCTTACCACACTCAGCTATCTTGATTAAAGTCTCACTCCTTTTTTGTCACCATGGTTGGCGTGCGTCTACCTCGCCCAGCGGGCGTCTATGTGCCAGCCCGAAGTCTCAGTCCTGATATGATCTCGTCCCCTCTTTCCCCAAGTTTCAATTTTGACTCGGAGACCCTCACCCCCTCTATCATCCCGGCTCTCGAGTACATTTCCGCCAAGCTAGAACAGAAGATGATGCATGTTACGCTCTTGGTGGGCCGGGGCAAGCCCTACCCGACCGGCGAGCCCTCCGACCTCATCATCATCCCCATCACCCCCCTCGACGCCATGACCTGGCCGATTGTTTACCGAATGGTGGCCAAAGCAGCCATCAAGTTCTCCCTGGGTCAAAGCTGGATCGATGCGCTGAATCGAAGTCTGTACGAGAGCGCCGCCAACGACTACCTGAAGCAGCAATCCATCATGCAGAACGAGGTGATCTTCAGCCGCGAGGGCCTGACGCTACTCAACGTCGACCGGATCTACACCTTCAAGCGCCGCCTGTGCATCCTCTCCAACCGAGGCGTGGCCCCCGAAGAATCATACATCACGTCCTGCACGCAGCTCCTGCATCGCACCATCCAAGATTTCCACGGTCGCCCGTTCAGCAAGGCCTTCTTCCACCGCGTCTACGAGCAGCTGAACGTGTCGGACGAGCTCCTCACCCACGTGGCCAACGCCTACCAGAAGCAATACAACGAGGACGGCATCATTCTGCCCCCGCAGCTCAAAGCCGAGCCTCCGCGGAAGACCGAGCAGCTTCGCAAGGGTGAGCAGCCGCGCAAGTCGCCGCGCTCGACCCGTGCGATCCGTCGCCAGGGCCCTCCGCCCACCAGATACGTGATTCCCACCAAGCGCGGGCCCAAGACGCCTTTGTCTGCGTCGGATGTCACCCCTATCACTCAGAATGAGTGGAACATGGTGATCGGGCCGGACTTCCCTCATCACACTAAAGCGACTGTCACCAAATGGACGCCTTCTCCTACGGTTATGGCTGCAGCGTGATGAACATGACTGTCCAAGACCGAACGTCATTGCTTTTCATCTTCAACAGAGTGGAAGTTGAAGTGCACAATCAAAACAGAACTGAGCTGCTACACCCAAACAATATGCTCACCAGCACCAAGGTGAGAATCCTCGAGACGGGGTCTTGAAGACTTTTTATACTAACCATCTCCCGGCAGGATTGGCAGTTGAAACACTCCACTTGCCACGGTCGCATCCGACCAACAAGACCATCCATGCCTTGGTTTAGTGGAGCTACCCGAGTATGTCGGCAAACGGACCAACAGGCCATAGCTTTGTGGGGTAACTTCCCGCCGGAATCGCAGGTCAGCATCCCGACTCCGAAATGATCGGGTTGATGAGTCGGGTCGATGAAGCATGGATGGGAAGGGGAGGCTACTACGGCTTAGTGCCATATGGGAAACCCGATAGGTATGGTGGCATAGATGATAGTGCTGCTTGGAGTCAAGAATGAATGACTCCAACCTTAGTCCATGCCAAGGACTGTCTTGTACATTAGAAGCTTGGCGGGGAAGATATCGGCGCCCTCCGGCATGGCAATTGTCGCGATGGCCCCTAGCCATGTTGATTCAATGTATTATTATCTGGAATGAACAAAGCTCAGTGAAGAACCAAAGGAGCGTCAACCAGACTTTTTTCCGGCAAAATCATACTCCAAAAACAACGGCATCGGCCAAGCAAAACCCATCCCGGCCAACAGCGGGCACCTCCGAAACATTCCGCTCCGACACTGCGGAGAAAATATTCCTAAGCTCCACTGCACCGAACCTCCAGTAGCTATCGAAATATGTACTCACCAATTAACCAGTCACCATGAAGCCGATTCCTCGCAGGTGATCCACTACGTTGTCACTGGTTGTTGGGGTTGATAATTCCCCCATCTAAAAATTCTTATCGCAGCCTTATCAAAACCAGTTTTCCTGCATACTGCCCCTCCTCTCGAACATTCAAATCCTGCCGTATGTCCTCCTCCCCCACACGTTGACCACGGACTACCACCAATTTCATCAGCACGCCGTCCTCAATTCTTATAAACAGCAACAACAACAACAACCACAGCAACAACGATCAAGCTTCAATAGCTGACGGAGTCCCTGTGGCTGCTCCCTCCAACCATGCGGGACCCTTCCCCGGACCCCGTGGATAGCACGGTCAATGACAACGACACGCCCGGGCGCAGCAGATGGACCGCCAAGGCCCTCGTCCGGCAGGCCGAGAAATCCCACCGCCGACTGCCAGGCATCCGCAAGATCCCCCTGCCAGCGATCGGGATTATCCTTTTCATTGCGTTCCTGAATGTGGTCGTGTGGATTGCCGCGGCGATTGTGCTGGTACGTGCCCCCACTTATCTATGCTGTGTCTAGGTTGTTTGGATGCTAATGAACGCGACAGCGATACCATCCGTAAGCCCTACTTGCACGCCAATGGTACTATAGCAGAGAGACTGACCTTAGGCTCGGGGCATAGATCCCTAGTCTCCAACGCCGTGCTTTCCTACACCCTCGGCCTGAGACACGCCTTTGATGCGGATCATATCTCGGTACGCTCCCCTCCTTCTCTCTTCTTCATGTAAAATATGACTAACAGAAAAAAAGGCCATCGACCTAATGACTCGGCGCTTACTGGCGACCGGCCAGAAGCCCGTGACCGTGGGGACTTTCTTCTCGCTGGGTCATTCCACGTACTTCCCCTGTCCCTCCCCCTTTCCTGCGGCGAAACTAACCCCCACAGAATCGTAATCATAACCTCCATCGTCGTAGCCGCCACCGCGGCAGCGATCTCCTCGCGCTTCGACAGCTTCAGCACCATCGGCGGCATCATCGGCACGTCCGTCAGCGCCGCCTTCCTCATTTTGTTAGGGTTAATGAACGCCTACATCCTGTACAAGCTGTACCGGCAGATGCAGAAGGTGCTGAATCTGCCGGAAGACCGGGAGGACGAGATCTGGAAGATCGAGGGGGGCGGGATGTTGTTCAATGTGCTGAAGCGGATGTTCAAGTTGATTGATCGGTACTGCCCTCCCACCACCATTCTCATTCTGCAGATCAAACATACTGATGATGCTGACGATGCAGACCCTGGAAAATGTACCCCCTGGGCGTCCTGTTCGGGCTAGGATTCGACACCTCCTCCGAGATCGCCCTGCTGGGGATCTCGTCCGTCGAGGCGGCGAAGGGGACGAACTTCTGGGTGATTCTGATCTTCCCGGCGCTGTTTACCGGTACCGTCCCTTCCATCACCCTCCTCATAGACATGGTAAAGCTAACGCCAAGAACCAGCGGGGATGTGCCTCCTCGACACGACGGACGGCGCGCTGATGCTCTCGCTGTACGTGCAGCCGTCGGCCAACTTCCTGCCGCCGAAGAGCGATGCCGCGTCGGACGCGCCCCTCATTTCCGGGCCGGAGGAGCATGACGCCGAGCAGCAGCAGAAGAACCACCGCGACCCCGTCGCGTTCCTGTACTACTCGATCGTGCTGACCTGCCTCACGGTGGTCGTGGCCATCGTCATCGGCGTCATCCAGGTGCTGACCCTTGTGCTGAACGTGGCGAACCCCACCGGCCGGTTCTGGGACGGCGTGCAGGTGGCGGGGGATTATTATGATGCCATTGGCGGGGGCATCTGTGGGTGCTTTTTGGTGATTGGGGGGCTGAGTGTTGTTGTTTATGGGCCGTGGAGGCGGTGGGTGGCTCGGCGGAAGGGACGGGGGTTTGGGGTGGATGTTGAGGGTTCTGAGGCTGGGTATCGGGATGAGGTTGCGGATGGGGAGGGCATGGTTGGTGAGGAAAGGGAAGAGGTGGGGAAGGGGGTATCTGGGTCTGGGGGGAAGGGGGCTACGGCTTCGGTTGCGCCTGTTGGGGGGCCTTCGGGGTGATTTATTGCAATAGGGTACTGGAGGTTGGAAGAAAGGAGGGTCTGGGGGTTCCCCCCCAGATGCTTATTTTATTACTTGGCTTTGGATTGGATTTACTGGGAAGCTGAAAGAAAGGGGGGTCCGGGGGTTCTCCCCCGGATACTTATATTCTCACTTGGCTTTGGATTGGATTTACTGGGAAGCTGAAAGAAAGGGAGGTCCAGGGGTTCTCCCCCGGAACGCTTCACAGCCAGCCTTTGGATGAAGATTGAGGATGTTTATGATAGACGAAAAGTTTTGATTGTTATTGGATATATTGACACCTGAGGCATTGATGGACTTGATATTCGAGTGGGGAGGAAGTTATACACTATTTCTAGAGAGTTATGGAGAGGTTTATCGGGTCCTGGGAAGCTGAAGAGAAGGGGGGTCTGGGGATTCTCCCCCAGATAGTTATATTATAGGATATATATTGAGTTTGCTGGGAAGCTGAAAGGAAGGGGGGTCCGGGGGTTCTCCCCGGAACGCTTTACAGCCAGCCTCTATAGATTGAGGGTGATTATAATAGAGGAACAGCTGGGAATATTATTGGATAGATCGACACCTCAGGCATTAATGAACTTGCCGGTATCGGCTGTCAGCCTTTCAGGTGAAATGCCGGATCCACTGAGGCATAAGTTGATGCCTGAGGCAGAAGACTTGACTGACGTCAGTCATCACAACTGAAGCGCCAATTTTTGACACTACTCAAGCACATCCTAACTGAACATGCAGTAACGCAGTATATTCGCACTATTCCTTAGATACGTCTCTTATGTACATTCTGTCTAATACCACCATGTGGGATGTAACAATGTGGGATATACTCGGAGCCATATAACCTACACTATAGGAGACCATGACATAACCCCCACTGTACATATCAAGCATGTCCGAGACAGACTCTCCCTCAGGAAACGACGACCCAGACCCATCGATCCCCGACTTCTCGGCCTGTCCGCCAATCTTCGTCCTGCAGACGCACCTCACCATCGAGTCCCTCCACGACATCGAAGAGGAGCTCGTCCGCCGCAACGCACGGCTGACCTACGACATCGACGAGGCCGCTCTCATCCTCGGCAAGCTCAGCCAGCCCAAACGCGCAGCACTGGAACTGCGAACGCTGGGCGTGTGGACTGAGCCAGCCCAAAAGTCTTCAGAGCCCCCGCCGGCCAAACGCCGCCGAGGCAATGCCTATGCGTCCGCCCCGGGGGAAGCGGAGGTCATCGACCTCAGCACGGAGACAGAGGACGAAGCGGACGGGATGAGCAGTCATGCTCCCTCCAAACATCTTCACGCACCTGCCAAACCAACCCCAGACACCTCCACCCTGACAGTCGTCAAGCTGGAGTGGCTCCACGCCTGCCTGCGCACAAACACCATCCTCCCAACCGAGGAGTACACAGTCTACCACGCGCGACGCATCGAGCGTCCAGCCCACCGCAGCCCACCCCCAACGAAGCAAACGCAACCATCAATCCTCGCCCGCGCCAAAGCAGACGCCTCCATGCAGCCCCCAGCACCCCAACGAACCCGCCCCTACCAACCCCGCCACCACCAGCAACAACATCACCCCCGAACCCAGCCCCCTGCCACCTCCCACCCCCCGAAATTGCACCGCACCACCACCTCCGAAGCCGAAGACCTAGGCAATCTCCCACCTCCCCCATCCTGGATAACCGCGCCCCACAACACCTACGCCTGCCTCCGCTCCACCCCGCTTCACCCACCCAACGAAGCCTTCATCAACGAACTCCTCACCATCCGCCACATCCGCGAGCTCACCCTGGACGAAATCGGCGTCCGCGCCTACAGCACCGCCATCGCCAGCCTCGCCGCATACCCTTACCCGCTCCGCCGACCCGCCGAAGTAGCAGCATTACCAGGGTGCGATGCCAAGATCGCGAACCTATTCTACGAGTTCCAGCAGCTGAGCCCGAGCTCCAACTCCAGCGGGGAGAATACACCGCGTCCACCGGATCCATCGCCCGCCAATCTCGGGCAAGACACACCGGGCCCACCCCAGCCCCAAGGAGGGCAACTAACCGCGACGCACCCCCTAACGCACGACCCCACCCTCGCCACCCTGCACACCTTCTACAACATCTGGGGCGTGGGGGCCAAAACCGCGCGGGAGTTCTACTTCCAGCGGGGGTGGCGGTCCTTGGATGACATCATCGAGTACGGGTGGGACAGTCTGAGCCGGGTGCAGCAGATCGGGGTGAAGTTCTACGATGAATTCCAGGCGGGGATTCCGCGGGAGGAGGTGGAGGGCATTGCGGCCGTGGTGCGGCGGCATGCTAACGCCGTCATCGATCTTCGGAAACAACAGCAACGCAACCACCGCCACCCTACCACTACCACCCTACACTCTGACAATATAGATGAAGGGGGAGGAGGGGTCGAGTGCATCATCACGGGCTCGCACCGCCGCGGCAAGCCGTTCTCGGGCGACGTGGACCTGATCCTCACGCACCGCGACGAGGACGCCACCAAGAACCTGATCGGGGCGGTGCTGCGCAGTCTGGAGGCGGAGGGCTGGATCACGCATACGCTGGCGCTGCACCAGGGGCACTCTGCGCGCGAGCAGGCGACGATCCCCTACCGTGCGGATAATGCGGTCGGCCGCAAGATGTTTGATAGTCTGGACAAGGGATTGGTGGTTTGGCAGCATCCTGATCCACGCCCGGAGGGTGGGGATGCGCATTCCACCGGGTATACTCTGGGGAATGGAAAGGGGAATCCCCACCGCCGCGTGGACATCATCATCTCGCCGTGGCGGACGGTGGGGTGCGCGGTGCTGGGGTGGTCCGGGGATAAGACGTTCGAGCGGGACTTGCGGCGCTTCGTGAAGAAGGAGCGCGGGTGGAAGTTTGATTCGAGCGGGGTGCGCGAGCGGGGGGGCGGGGGGTTGGTGGTGGATTTGGAGGGGGCGGGAGAGACGTGGGAGGAGAGGGAACGGTTGGTTATGGAGGGGTTGGGCATTGGGTTCCGAGGGCCGGGGGAGAGGTGTACTCGGTGATTTTATTATCACTTCGTAGTTTTGTATACTGGGCAGTTGAAGGGAAGTGAAAAGAAGGGGGGTCTGGGGGTTCTCCCCCAGAATACTTATATACTAGAACTTAAGACTGAGGTTACTGGGGAGCTGAAAGAAAGGGGGGTCTGGGGGTTCTCCCCCAGTTACTTCTATAGTCGGTTTTGGGGTTGAGCTTACTGGAGAGCTGAAAGGAAAGGGGTCTGGGGGAGAACCAGAAAGTTATATTCTAGGATATGATGCTGTGTTTACTGGGAAGCTGAAAGAAAAGGGGGGTCTGGGGGTTCTCCCCCAGATAGTTATATTGTTGGTGGTAGGGTCGGGTTACTGTGAGGCTAAAAGCAAAGGGGAGGGGGAGGGGGAGGGAGAGTCAAACCATACCATATTTCACATTGTCTCATAGAGCCGTCTCCGAGTAAATACACGCAACAAAACACAAACACAGCCACATCAGGCTTCATCGTCACCCCCCAAATGAGACAAAAGTCAGACATACAAAGAAGGAAAATCAAAAGGCCACAAAAGCAAAACAGACAATCGTTACACTAGAGCTCGCGAGCTGGTCATTTCTCCGTAGCGTCCTCTTCCTCTCGTGGTATCGTAAGCATTTACAACTCTCATCTGGCCGCCCTCGTCCGCCTGGCTAAACGCGTACCCGCGCTGCTTGCGCATGCGCTGCACCTGCCGCACCTTGCGGATCGCCTTCTGGAACTGCTCCATCCGCGGCCGGTAGTCCTGCACGTTGTACTTCTGGATCTCCTGCACGTGGTGGTAGTGCTGCGGGAAGTACATGCGCTTGGCGTACTTCCACGCGTAGTCGCGGAGCAGGCAGATGCAGGGCAGGATCACCACCAGCAGGTAGAAGGTGGGCGACTTGAACACCACCGGGATCGTGCCGTAGTACTCGGTCGAGAAGCCGATCGCCGGGGCCGCGTAGCCGTAGGCCGGCAGGAAGATCAGCCAGATGATCATCGAGCCGGGGATCGCGATGAAGGTGTATTTTGTCCAGATGTTCGTGATCAGGGCCGCCTTGCCCAGCACCGTCGCCAGCGCAGCCGTGTACAAAGCTTCGGCCCAGACCCAGTGACCGGCGGTTTTGCCGTCGGCCTGGGCACCGTCCCAGATGAAGAAGAGCTGTCCGACGATGTACAGGAGCAACGAATGGTAGAACCCGTTGGCAATCCAGGACCAGAAGCTGTGTCGGCGGAAGAAGAGACTCTTCTGACCCATCTGGTACAGCTGCGGATAGCGATCCAGCAATCGCGCAGAGATGAACTGATCACAAATGCCCATGGCGAAAGGGGGAAGCACGGTGAAGAAGACGTTGTAGTACGACAGTGTCCACGACTCGTAGATAACCTCGCCAGAGAAAGCGTTTTGGAAAGAGTACTATGCATGTCAGTAAAAGCCGACTCACTAGCAAGAATGACTTACCCAGAACTGCGTCATACAGAGAGCGATATTCTTGTAAAACGAGTACAAGATCACTCGACTGATACGGTGGTAATTCCAGGCCCCGTGGACCAGAAGGAGCTTGCGCAGATAGCGGAACTGAGCGATCGACACGTCCGCCGACCGTGCAGCCTGCAGACCCTCGACACCGCTGATACCAACACCGACATGGGCGGCCTGAATCATAGACACGTCGTTGGCACCGTCGCCGATTGCCAGAAGCAAGGACTTGAGGTGGCGTTTGACCAGCTTGACCACAAGGGCCTTCTGCAGGGGGGACACACGACTTCTTGAATTAGTACAAACTCAAGAGAAAAGAGAGGGCAAAAGATAATGGCAAACCTACCAGCAGACAACCGCCTTGCACAACACCGCCAAGTCCAAGAACAACTTCTCCATGTCCTTCTCGAGAGCGAAGGTCAACGACCGGCCATCAATAATCAATGCCATCGCTTCAGTCTCGCCTGAAGTACCCTGGCTCTGAACAGCTTGAAGCTTTTTCATCAAATTATCTTTGGTAGCCTGGGCGCTTTCCTCGTTGACAATGAGCAGGGTCATATCCTCCGAAATCAGCTTGCACGACATTCCGATGTTGATAGCCGTTTCCTGTCTGTCGCCAGTCAAGACCCAGATCTTGATGCCTGCCGTCTGGAGGGTGTGGATAGTATCCGGGACTCCATCCTGCAGGCGATCCTCAATGGCCGTGGCTCCGAGAAGGTAAAAGTCCTTCTCAATGAGTTCGGCTGCCTTGTCCAATTCATCCGCGCGGTTTCCGCTGACCGTAGTTGCGGCCTTGTCATAGATCTGATACCACTGCTGGAACTCCGCTTCAGGAATCTCACGCATCGCCAAACAAAGCGTACGTAGACCCTCCGACGCATATTCCTCCAGGTGTTGCAGCGTCGCCTCAACGGTCGGGTTATCAGGGTGCAGCCGCTCGAGAATGACAGTATCCGCACCCTTGGTATAAATACGGACCTTGCCGTCTGGGCAGCGGAAAATAGTCGACATACGCTTTCTCGTAGAGTTGAACTCGCAGACGGCCAGCAACTCATACTCGTAGTCCTGACCCTCCACCGTGAAAATCACGGATCTGGGCTTGCGGTTGGAAAATCGATAGCCAAGCATTGCAGCACCCTCGACCAGCGCACCTTCATCCGGAGACGCCGCCTGATACTTGATCTTGCCCGGCTCCTTCTCAGATCTTTCCGGAATGACGGTATGACAAGTCGCAAGCAGAGTGAGGAAGTGGTGAATCACATCTGACGAAGGGTGGGAGCGGAGATTCTCCCTGAGCTTCTTGAAGTCGTGAACGCCCACTTCGACACCGTCTTCAACAGTAGCGCGGCGGTCCTCTGGAACATCCTCTCCGTATTGGACACCGGCAATAGTGCATTGCTTGAACTCCATCATGTTACACGTCAGGGTTCCTGTCTTGTCGGAAAAGATATACTCGATCTGTCCCAACTCTTCGACCAACGATGACGTCCGGCAGGTTGCAGGAGTATCAGTCTTGTCGTAGTAAATGTCGAGATCCGCGTTGATCAAGAAAGCCTGTGCATACTTGATAATCTCAATGGTGACGAAAAGGGAGATCGGAACCAAGTTCGAGTACAAGACCCAGTAGGTGAAGATGTCCAAAACAAACTGCTTGACAGCATGGGTACTGCCGTAGTCGAGGTATGTGAGTTGGCTGCCCTCTGTTTGCCGAATGACCAGATCACCAACGGAACTGATCACACTCAGCGCCACGAGGATGCCAACCAGCATGAGAATCTGGACGTTAACCATACGCTCGACAGCCGTTCGCTTGATCGGGGTTGCCGTCGCGTTTCGCATCAACTTCGTTTCGTGGCCGGTAAAAACGACGATTCCATGCACCCAGGGGGTGTTGCGCAGGGTTGCACCTCGCAGGAGCAGTTGATCCGGGGCCAGTGGCAGTTCCTTCTCACCACCTCCCGCGTGCATAGTCAATGTGGCCTCGTACGTGTAAAGACTGCTGTTTGGCTGTTCCGATCGGACGCGCCCGGTCAACCGACTGAGATCCGCGGGACTAACCAAATGCGCCGTCTCCGGAATAGCTTGCTTGATCTTGAGGTTGGTTTCGCCGTCCAGATTCGCCGTCTCGATATAGCATAGACCCTCAGGCTCCGACGACGCAAGCAAGACCATATCGGCGGGAAATGGCTGCTCAGACTCCACGCGAACAATATCACCAACAGCGACATCAATCCACTTGGTCTCGTGGAAGCTCGAGCCTTTCAGTACCAGTGTCTTGGAAAAGTTCAACCCTTTATCGGACAGTCTCCGCTTGTAATCCTCCACAAGTTCTTTGATGGCCGACACCAACAACACAATCAACAGCGGACCGATCGTGGTATACCGATTCGTGGGAGTGACATTCGGGATCTGTTGAAGAACGGCGGTGAACAGGAAGAACAGGTTGGCGTACTTCGAGAATTGCTCGAACAGGAACTTCGGGATGAAGGTGAAAATGTTGTATTTGGCCGTCGAGACATGGTTGTCCACGAATTTGTGCACGGCGTTCGCGGGCGGATTGTTCAAAACGATCATTCGGGGTCCCAGAGTCGACGGGTCGACCTTCCTGCGACCGAACCCAAATTTGAAGTCCGACTTCTTCGACTTCTTTCGAGCCCCGGTCGCAGCCGCCTCATCCGGATCTGCACTGTCCAACCGAGCCGCACGACCGCCCGACTCAGTCAAGGGGAGATCCATTTCCGAGTACTCGGGCCCCATACCCAGCATGTGCTTCGCTCGGCCCATCAGGCCACCCCCCAGACCCAGGATGCTGTTCCGCTCCTTCGCCTGACGAACCCGACTGTCGGGCTGCGAGTGGTGTACGTCGTCATCATCCAGATCGTAGTATCCGTGCAGCGACCGGTCGTCGTCGTATTCGTCGAGGGAGTAGCGGTTGTAGTTGCTCAGGCCGGAGGTATGGGAATAGGTACGAGACACATCGGCTCCGGTGTAAGGATCAGTGAGGTAGCCCCCGGTTTGCGCCGGAGGGTGCGCAGAGGAAGTCGCATGGGCGCCTGAATGCGGCGGAGCGTGTCCGCCGACGAAGCTATCGTAGGAAACGGAGGGACGGGGTTGGGGTTGGTCGGAGTCGTCGATATCGTACTGTCGCAACAGGTTGTCATCGTTCACAGGCGGACGTTGACCCGTGTTGTACATGGGAGTGGACTCATCCAGCAGCAGTTCCTCGTTGTGGCCAGCGGCTGGATGAGGTCCGGGAGGCCTACCGCTGGCCATGACGCTGAGGGCGGGCAGACACCGTTACTGCGAGGTGGTGCCCCAAGAGCATTGATTGACGGGGGAGGGAAGGGGTGAAAGTCGCGCGCTGGGAGTAGTGGAGGATGGCGGAGACACGTAGAATTAGGGAGGAGGTGGTCGGAATTGAGTCCGGGTGACAGTAAGCGGCGGGGAGGGAGAGAAGTAACGCAGATGGGGAGAAATTCTGACTGCCTGGCGGTTTAGCTCAGATGCCGCGCAATTAGCGTTGGATCACCGCCCGTGGCTGGGGCCGGGAGATGGGGCGGGGCTCTCCGGGTCGAGACGGTGAGTAAATTAGATTGTTGACTGGGAGACGTGCTAATTATAAGCCACGAGGGGGGGGAGAGAGGATAAGTTATGGTGTTTCAGAGTAGGAAGACGATTTGGCAGAGTCAACTCATTTCCACTAACTACCGCGTGGTTGAAAGTGGATGATGGATTGGAGAAAGGGAGGGATGATGAACACCTGCGTCCGCTTTGGGTTAGCGCCGCCTGACCGATCGTCAACTGCCGTCACGGCTTTCTACAATCAACAATCAACAAACAACAAAATAGCAGCAACAGCTTGGAGCTTGGAAGCAGATACTGAGACGTTAACCACAATATCATTTCAATCCTAAACTATGTTAACATCAAAACCAAAACATGCAAGCATGTATAAACCAAGCAACAATTTGATCAATTACCCATCAAAAATCAAAGTAAAACAATCATCTTAGCTCTGCTTGGCCCGGAAAAACCTAGCAGCCAAACCTCTTGCCACGGAAAAAGTCAATTTCAATTTCAGATGGAACTGCCCAGTCGGTCTCCATGGGAAGTTCGCACTTGCAAGCTGCTTGGGCTCATGATCGGCACAGTCTCTGCAGTATCGAAGAGGGTCTTGGTTCGATCGTTGCAACAGAATGTCATGGACCTCCATCAGTACTAGGAGGAAGTGAACATGGCTTTCGAACTTGCGTCTCTGCCCTTTGTTCCAATTGCGCCTCTGTGGGTATTCGATCTCAACCCTGTGTAGACGTGCCCAAATAGCGTAGTGAAGGGAAGCCGTGAACTCCCGAGGAAATTCGATACCGGGGCTTCGCAAGTCTCTGAGAAAGGTTGCGCAATGTATGTATTGGCCCACATCGAGAGGATATTCCGGGTTTCTCTGTGGAAGTCTTCTGTGGTTCTCTTCGTAGTTCCTTTTCAACCAAGTTGCAACCTGGTTCGTGGAGTTCTTCATTTCTTGGTAGTGGTATTCATACTGACGCACCCAGATTATAGGTTGCGAAGTTGCCATTGTTGTTCATCAACAGAGATATGAATAGGTAAAGTAGGGCGATGAGACTAGGGACTGGTTTGGAACTGATTTGCAACTTCTAATTTATCCTGAACATGGAACTACAGCTGCTATATATTCAACAGCCTGCAAGCATCGTGTAATGTCACGTATGCAATGAGCAATGAGATACGTAGAGGGCTGGAAATGTCTATGATGTTCTTTGTCTTATATGGATATGTCTAGCGGGTTTTGCCAAGTTACAAGTCAGTGGAACAGGCAAACAACACCCCAGACAACATGTCGTAGAATGTATCAAATCTTCATTCGTATCTCGAGACAAGGTGCCGAGCGTGGCTTTTTGGCGCATCGGCCATTAGGCTCTCGATTTTGTTTTCCTGAACCATGGCATCTAGAACAGTTTGAACGAGATAGTATTTGGCAACTCTGGCACTAGGGCTAGCATCCTGGCAAACCCTGCCGTTTGAAAAACTGAAGCCGAAGAGGAGGTAACGTCGTTGTAAACGTGTCCAACGCGTTGTGCTCAAAGTCTTCACCTGTCTCACCCGGCGCGAAGCTTATAGAATATTGTAAAGCCAATACAGACACCGTGATGCGGAGGCTGAGCAGAGCGAGATTCTTTCCGGGACAACTATATGGGCCTGGGGACGCAAGTTAGCGATGGAATTTACCCAATCACTTGAATTGTGAATCAATCCGACGCCGCGAAAAAGTTGCGGTAAAGTACTTACCCATTGCAAATGGAATGAAAGGCGCCCCATCGGTGCCCAGCTCGCCTTTTCTTTCACCCCATCTCTCGGGAATGAAGCTTTTGGCTTGTTTGTAATATCTCTCGTCTGTTTGGATCAACTGAGCCGGAACAAACACGTTGACATCCCCGGGAATGTACACCTCATCGATCTGGAGGCCTTCCGCAGGGGTTACCCGGTATCCACCTGTCATCACGGCTGGCCGGAGACGGAGAGCTTCATTGATGATGTCGTCAAGAAAAGAGACTGTCTTCACCTTGTCGTAGGACCAGTCCTCGACCCCACCAGGCATAGCCTCATCTAAGAGTCGCTGAAGCTTAGCAAGAACATACTTGTACTTAGCTAGGTAGAAAAGCACAGTAGCTAAGGTAGTCGCTGTGGTTTCACTGCCAGCGATAATAACCACCCGAGAGTCTTCGTGCAAAGCAGCTTCTGAAGGAGAGGCTGCTGCGTCGTTGTCCACGTAGGCTTTCAGCAGCCATGAGACAATATCGTCAGGATACTTTCCGGCGTCCCAGATCTGCACACCGCATTAATGCCTCAGCCAAACGCCGAACACAAACAAAGTGATAACGCACCTTTTGCTTTCTTTCTATCTCGTCACCACACCACTTGAAGAAACCTGAATAGGCTGCAGTCGCTCCCGGAACATGGCTAACGAGATTCAGAAACCAAGGAACATGGCCTAGAACCCCCAGAATGGCCATGTGGTCGTGGATTCCTCTGATAGCCGGATGCTCAACACCTGTTGTCAAGTTTCCAAAGTTTTTTCCAAAGCCCACATCTCCCATCACATCAAAACTGAGAAACATTGACCAGGCGGTGGCATCAATGGGATTTCCCAGGTTGGCCGCGATATGAGCGGCAAGTTGATCGGCCTTCGCTTTGATCCGTGGTTCGTACCCTCCGAGTGCTAGATATGCCTGGTCAATCTCCGCCGGCATCTTCCAAGAAATGGCTTTGAGTAGAGAGCGCACATTTGATACTGAATCCTCGATCCCATGCCTTCCGTCGTTTCCGATGATCTTCGAAATCTCGTGTGTGGTGGACGGAGCATTCTATCGGGTTGGTAGAGGCCTGCGCGTAGTAGGTTGACTTGCGACACTTTGACTGAGGTCCGAAGAGGACTGGTAAAGCCGATCTCCGAACGATGCAGATCTCTCGAGGACCTATGATTGGAGCATGTTCAGTACTGGTGGTGACCACCTGGGAGTGGCGACCTGGCGTACCTGTCCTGATGAAGTCACCGTGCTGTTTGTGGAGTTTCTCAATTTCCACATTGTATTGCACATTCCGCCCGGCAAGATACGTATCATAAAACCGAGACACCTTGGACCCTATCGGGCCTGGAAAGTGACGAAGACGATGAAAGAACAACCGATAAACCCCAATGCTCAACACTAGTCCTGTGTTGAAAGCGCCTGCAATCCAGCATACTCGGACCAGACTCTGGGTCACTGGATAATCAGTTGACGAAAGATACGCAGCAAGCACGGCAGATAACGAAACAATGTAGAGTATCAGAAGTTCATGAAGATGATCTTCCGTGGGAAAACTGGTGCGAAAGAGAGTGAGATGGAGGACAATCGCGAGTCCGGCAGCGGAACTTCCCAGGCTGAGCAGGTCCTTCCCGAGGAAGTCACTAACGCCTGCGGACCAAAGCAACGATTTCGCTGCCTCCATTGTGAGTGCGTTGTTGATTTTCTCAACCACCCATCAGTGTGCCCACAGTTGTTCGAAGAAAAGGAAGATCCCTCGCTGACAGGGGCAGCGAACGATTATTTATCATCCATTCGAGCCGGGACCTCCTCCAGCATCATACAAGATTGCATGCTAAAGCGACGGCGTCACTATAGTCGATGACTGTGAATTTGTTATTGGCAGCAGACAGCTGGTCAGTTTATTGACCCTTGTCTATACCCCACCTCGGCAGGAATAAAAAACACTCACCATCTCAGCCGATCGCACAACCGGGATAAGAGAGGCGCTTATGACAGAAACCAAGACCCATCGTGCACGATGGTGAAACTCCGGTCCTCGTGCGGACAATATGCAGGACAAGCCCGTCATCTCCACCTTTCATCTCTGCTACTCGTGTTCGCTTGATCGCACGGCGGCCCTTCAGTGGTGGCTGAATTCCCCGATCCACATCGCGAGACACTATAGGAGACTAGGAAGGGAGCAGCCGTCCGCTGTGGAGCTTATGCTGATGCCAACTCTCGCGGATTGGCGGGAGGAGAGAAAGCAAAGAGTTTAGCGCACTGGATCTCATCTGCATCTAAGGCCTCCTAGCGATGGCGCTTGCAGGGATGGCTGGACTATCAACAGGATCGATGCACACAGCAGGATGGGCTGGATCAGAAGAGGGGGTGAAGAAAGACAAGGCTGCCTCCAAGCATTTGATTATCGGCCCAATGGACTTTCGAGCCTGTCCAGTATATATTCTCTCGGCCGGCTCGACTCGCTGGTCATTTTCGACAGAGCAAAAGAGCCTGCACGAGCGAGCTCTTTGCCTGGGCTTATGCGGTGGGCAAAATGGCTCTCGAGAATCTCCAGCCATTGACCTACGGGATTATCTCTGCTGCTTTCGCGATCGGAACTTGCTCCATCTTCCTGCGGCTTTACTGTCGACTGCGTCATCAGAGTTTTGGTAGGGATGATGCGGTGGCTATCATTCTCCTGGTAAGGAGTTCTCGTTCTGGCTCTTGATAAGCGACCATCCAATTGATCACTTCACAGTTTGTCAACGGGATGCAGCAGATGATTCTGTACATCTTTCTTCATTATGGATGTGGACTGTGAGAGACGAAAAGACAATCAATAAGCAGGACGAGAGCTGACCAGGTTCCGTGGTAGGCACTCGAGTCAATTATCCTCGCATCAGCAGGAACAAATAACCAAGGTACACACCTCGCTCAGTGGCGCGTTCTCAACTAACACATTTGCATCCAGTGGCTGTTCGTCGAAGAAGTCTTTTACATGTTCGTGCACTGGACCATCAAACAAGCGTTCCTGCTCTTCTACCTCCGACTCTCCCCAGATCGATCATTCCAGATCAAAGTCTTCAGCACAATGGTCCTCAACACCCTTTTCACGATCACAAACTGGCTACTCGCCTTCCTACAATGCAGACCCCTCGGCGCCATATTCCACCCCGCTGAGTATGCAAACGCGCAATGTCTGAGCACGTACGTGGTCATGATGGTACCAACAGGACTGGTAGGGATGGCGAGAGCTCTTGGCAGGATACACATACACTAACATGTCTTAAACCATGGCAAGAACATCATCACGGATATCATCATCCTCACCCTACCGATCCCGACCGTGATGCGGCTACAGATGAGCAACCAACGCAAGGTCGCCGTGCTCGGGGTCATGTGTTTCGGCGCCTTGTCCGTAGTGACGGCGTTATGCCGCTTCGAAGTGCAGAGACAACTCATCGCCAACCCCGACACGGCGTACGTGCTCGGCCGAATGATCATCGTAGCGGCAATTGAAATAGAGATTGCCGTCGTGGCAGTCAATCTTCCCGCGTTGAAGACCCTTTTCACCAAGCTCGTGGGCAGCTCAAGCGACGACTCAACCAATGGCGCCCACCGACTTTCCGATTACATCAAGCAGGGCTCGAACGCAGCAGGCCCCAAGAAAGCCGAATCGCGCCTGTCACGCGCTAGCCTCCAGATCCACGAGCTACTGAGTGGCAACTTGACGGGGTCAGAAGAAGAGCTCCTGAGGCAGACCGGTGGGAAGGCGAACATCACAGTCACGACGAATGTGGACGTCGCGTCCGAGCGAGCGAACAGTGAGTATCTGGCAGACATCGGCTTTCCTCCCATCGTGAGCCAGCGTCCGAAAAGTCATATCGAGACATCATGAACAAAATTTGACCTTCTCTGTTGAGCAAATTAAGACAGAACATTAATTGTTGAACTAAAGTGTGGCTTGCCGGCTGTCAGATCGTAGTCTACCAAAAAAGCGAGTTCTCAAATCTGCTTGGTCGATGGGCTGCGGCAAATGTCCGAGAGATTGCTTGGTGGCGGGCCTGGCCTGAGGATAAGCGGCTTGGGCGGAGCATATCACCACCCGATTCACTATAGCTCCGTGGGCTAAATTTATCCACCATCGGGTTGAAAATGGATTCTTCAATTTCTTGATAGGACGCTAAGAGCACACGAACAGGTAGTGACTGACATTTGATCTAGCCACAGGCCAGCAATTACAAATGGGTAATGCTGGAAAGATGGCTCGAGGTTTTGCCAGTGCCAAGTTGAGTGGCATTCAGCCTGGTGTGGCTGCTACTTAGCTGCAAATATATTTCGGAGACCACTCACCACAAACATAGCAAGCCATTGGGTAGCTTCTCCAAATTTACAAACAAAAACACACCATCATCCAAATCAAATCTGATTGCTCGTCTTTCAAAACCATTAGACTCCTGGTAATATGCATGACATCTCTAGTAAAACCTAGCAAAACCCCGCCAAAGCCACCCCGACCTGAAGGTAGATCACCGATCATTCTCCGCCCGCGACTCCTCGGCCCTGCCCGTCTTCGCGCGCTTAGCCAGATCCGCCTGCAGCGCCTTGTCGATGACGGCATTGATCTCCTTAACCTTGTCCAGGGCGACGGATGTCTTGTTGACGAAGACCATGGCGTCGACCGGCGAGCCGGAGAACTTGGACATGAAGCAGACGTCGCCGGCGTTGTTGAGCCCGAAGACGACGTCGGCCTCGGCGGCCTGCTCCTCGCGCCGGGTGGCGTCGAGCATCACGCGCTTGCCCTCGTCGAAGGAGTGGAAGGTCACCGCGAGCGGCTTGTGCGTGATGTTCAGCGCGACGGGCACCCGCTCGTCCACCCCGTAGACGATCACCTGGCCGTCCTTGACCACGGCGTCCGGGCGCCGGAAGTGCTGCAGCCCCGCCATGATGCCCGCGCACGCCGCGTCAATCAGGTTGCCGTCGTAGTCGGTGATGTGCACGTCCGCCCGGATGCTCCAGCAGCTCACCCCCTTGACGATGCACAGCGATTCCGTGTCCAGCGCGTTGGAGTGGCGGATCACCCGGTCCAGGACGTTGGTCACGTACGTTTCGAGGTCGCCTTGTCTGTTTTTCCCCCGGTGATTAGAAGCTGCAGCTGCCCTTTATTCCGTGTCCCTCTGCTCAGGGGTTGAAAGGTAAGTCCTACCGTCCATTATCCCAGGCGGGCGACCCCATCGCCGTAAGCTCCATCGCGATCGTGAAAAGCCCATCGAACGGCCGGTCGTCGTGCGGTTTCGTCACTTCGGCTGAGATGCGTGTCACTAGACTAACACACACAAACACAATAACGGTTAGCTTCGCGCTGTTGTTTTGTAACCACCAAGAGAAGATGCTTACCTCGTCCGACCAAGCTGCACCTTCACATGCCCATGCTCCTCCCCGAAGGTCACCTTCAACGGACGCAACTCATCCGCGGCGCGACCGTCCAGCCGTACATCCTCGCGCAGCGCATTGAGGATGAAGTCGCGCTCCGCGATCGAGAGCGGTGCTTCTTTATTCATGATTTGTAGATTTCGGCGGAAGAAAAGAGAGGAGAATAGGCGGAGGGGCGGCGGACTTGGCCGCCAGCGGCCCGGGGGAAGACTTTCGTTTTCTCTCTCCACTCTAAATTTCATGCCGCGGGCGGGCGGTCATCGTCATTGCAGCCTCTGGGCGGGTGGGCTTTGGTCCAATGGGAGCGGTGGAAACCTGGGCGGTGAGAGATGTGCGCCTGAGGCCGGAGGGCTTTGCCGCTCCCGTGGTTTGATCGCCGCGGGCGGAGGTTATTATCAGAGCCATCAACTCTTCTCCTTCGCGGACAGCAATTCTCGCGACTCTGGATTTACGCACAACCACAATATGACTACAGGTGAGAGGACTGTGATTTTGCATGGGAAGGGTATTTGGCTGACTCTTGGAACAGCACACAGACCTACGTTTGACCCCGTACGTAAACCCGCTTACCAGCTCCGACGGGGAGAAGTGCAAGAACTCATGGGAAACTAGGCACAAGGCAAAGAGGCCCTCCGTGGTCCGGCCTACCACCAGCGACTGCTTCCTGCACACAAGCTTTTGAAGACACGGTAGGATGGCGAGATAGCCTGTATGATTGGGAAGAAAGGCACTGACGCCGGCCAGTCAACTCGGCCAAGGCACCGAAGCGGAAGCCACCCAGCGCGACCTCCGCGCCGAACTCCTCCAGGCTGAGGCCGCCCATTTCGCCAAGAAGAACGGAACCCCCCTTGATGAGCCCACGGTCGAGAGCGTGACGCCCAAGCGCCAGTTGGAGGGTGGTTCGCCGGGCGGCGATGCAGACACAGGGGAGCAGGAAGAAGATATGGAAGCGAAAAGACGAAAAATATTAGAGGAGACGAGAGACATCGACGCGGACTCAGATGGGTCGGAGGAGGATAGTAGTGATGAAGATAGGTGAGGCGCTTCGCTAGTTGAGCAAAGCATAAAGGCAGGACTGACTGGTTCAGTGATGACGAGGAGGATGAAGCTGCCGAGCTGATGCGCGAACTGGAGAAGATCAAGAAGGAGAGGCTGGAGCAGAAGGAAAAAGAGGTGGGTTTCTTCCGGTCCGGGTCTAGGGCTGAAAGCTGATGATGATAGGAACGCGAGCGTGCGGCTGAAGAGGAAGAGAAGCGCGAATACGACATTGCGCGCGGAAACCCTCTGCTCAACCCCCAGGACTTCAATCTGAAGCGACGATGGGATGACGACGTGGTCTTCAAGAACCAGGCGCGCGGCACGGAGGATAAACGGGGCAAGGAATTTGTCAATGTAAGTTTGCTGGCTATACATAGGGGATGGTATTGACATGATACAGGACTTGTTGCGATCGGACTTCCACAAGCGGTTCATGGTAAGTCGGTTTAGTGTCCGGATTCTTGACTGGATACCAATGCTAATGGACGCAGGGTAAATATGTTCGGTGAACACCATACTATACAAATGCTGAGCTCAACACCTACCATGGCTCATTGAACCTCGCTCCTCAATCATGCTACATCACAATCTACCCACGATGATAGGGGTGTCGCAACACTCCGGACGGGCCAAGCACCAACAGAAGGTCCGCAAGTGATGGATTTCTTCTCTCGATCGCGTCAAGTGAACAATCACGAGTTCATGCGCTGGAGACGCACCACCTAGATAGCGATAAAGTATAGTCATAATACCCACTGCGTATATCACACCAACTAGACACACTCGAAGATTAACTTAGCTTCATTATCGTAATCCAAAGCCGGCAGTATCTGACCGCCTAGACTCCCGCCCAGAACAATCACGATCACAACCACAACCCACCCACTCCCCATCTGCATAACCTGATACAATCACTCAATCGCCTCAATCCCGCTCAATCTCCCAAAATGGAATCCCAACCCTCCTCCAAAACCCTGCACAGTCAGTATGCCATACCCCATCCACCGCACCAGCCACTAACACACCTAAAAACCAGACCGCATCAACACGAACATTTCCCAACTCCTCCAACGCTTCGAGAACATCATGGCCACAGCCACGGTACGCGACGCCCATTGCCTACCACTCTTACCTCTCGAAACCTGATCCTAACTTGAAGTCGCAGACAGAAAGCACAAGCCACACCTCCACAGCCGTCGAAACCTACCAACTCGACGTCGAGTCCACCGCTTTGGTTTGTTACCCTGACCTCCTCAAGAATCGACCTCGCTGATTTTGATATGCTATGAGAGCAGGTCCGCGCAGCAGAAGACATCCTGGCGCTTACGCGGGTGATGAAGGAGACGTGGCTGTTTGGGAAGCTGGATACGTTGGGGGAGGATGAGGCGGAGGTGAAGCGGCGGGAGGAGTTGGAGCGGGATGCGGGGGCGATTCAGCGGGCGATTGAGGAGGGGGGGCTTTTGAAGGCTGCTAAATAGGTTTTTTGGGAGTGGAGTATGGTATGGTCTGGCGCATTGGGAGTCTGGGTTTCGGGGTGGGATATTCGGCGTTACGGTTTGGGGTATTGCGAATCTGGTTATTCGAACCTTGCGGAAATAGTACTGTACTATGCAGTGCACATGATCATCTGTATTGTCTATGATCGCCAATCGTCTACAATGCATATACTGTTCAAGCAAGTGATGCGCTGGCATGAATAAAACGAATTTCCAAAAGAGAAGGCAAACAAACCACCGTCTCAGCTGCACTATACTAACCAAGCTGCAATGCGGCAAAGCTAAGCTACGCTACCTTATCGATAACCACCACCTCCGCCAACCCAACCCGACCCAACCATAACCAAATTTCCCTCCTCCACACCCATCCATCCATCCATAACCTCCACGCAACCACCCTCACCCTCACCACCACCACCACCAACAACCACCACTCACAACCACCCACCCAACAACCCACCCAAAATGCCCCCCAAACCACCCCCCCTAACCCTCATAGTCGCCACCACCCCAATCCCCTCCACCCCCACCACAACAACCACAGGCCACCAAACCGGCCCCCTCCGCCTCGGCATCGGCCAAAACGGCACCCTGCCCTGGCCGCGCATCAAAACCGACATGTCCTTCTTCGCGCGCATCACCTCGCGCCCGCCCGCCCACTCTCCCACCGGCAGCACAAACGCCATCCTGATGGGCCGCAAGACCTACGACTCGATCCCGGCCTCGCTGCGCCCGCTCGGCAAACGCATCAACGCCGTGATCACGCGGTCCGTCGAGGAGGTCGCGCGGCGCGTGCAGCACGACCTCGACGGGAAACGGCGGAAGGAGGAGGAGAAAATGCGTGCGGCTGGGCAGGGCCAGGGCCAAGCGCCAGGGCCGCAAACCGACGCGATCGTGTGCGCGGGGTTGGAGGAATCACTCACCATGCTCGAGGCGAGGTACGGCGCGGAGGGGAAACTGGGGCAGGTGTTTGTGATTGGCGGGGCGGAGATCTATGGTGCGGCGTTGCGGGTCAAGACGCGCGGGGTGCGGATTGTGATGACGTTTGTGGAGAAGCTGGCGTTCCAGGAGGATCGTGGGCGGGTGTTTGAGTGTGATACTTTTTTCCCGGTGGATGAGGAGTTACTCCAGGAGAGGGGGTGGAGGAGGGTGAGTGCAAGGGAGGTGTCCGAGTGGGTGGGGGAGACGGTCACCGATGAGTGGATTGTGGAGGGGGAGGTGAGGGTGAGGATGGTGGGGTATGGGCGGGTGGATTAATCGGTTTCTATCCGGGAGAAGGGGAAGGGAATGTGGAGGTAGTGCAAGCGACAATGTACAGTCTGTATGCAAGGTATGTACGGCGCCATTCTGGAGCCAGGCTCTAAATACAGGATCATATGCAACAGCAACAAACGCTGAACCAACTCCGAGCTAATTTACAGCAACAAATCTAGATAACCGCGCAAAACCAATTCATAACACGTATCCACCGAAAAGCAAACTACTCGTTCTGCTTCATATACTTCACAAACGCTTTCTTATGTACCAGGCCGGCGTAGTGTCCATCGTGGAGAACACACAGATACCGCAGGCCCAGCTTCGCAAAGCACTGATACACAAGATCAATCGGGGAATGGATGTCCAGGGCCATCGGGGACTAAAAGGATCAGCTTTGTGTCATGCAGAGAGATCACCTGACTTACAAAATCAATGTATTGAGTAAAGTCCACCCAGTCGGTGTTTTCCAGGTCCTCACTGTCGGAGATAGCCGAGGACACATCCATCGTCATCAGACACAGGGTGTTCTCCTCATCCTCAAGATTGTCGAGAGCGTATTCAAGGTCGGGCGCAGGGATCAACCCAGTCAGAATGTTGTGACGCAGAATCGGCAAGCCACTGTCGAGCTCACCGGCCATAAGCAGATTCTGCAGTTTCGACCGCAGCTCCGTCGCGGGCACAAAGGAGGACTCCGAAATGTCGATAATCCGGCTGGCCCGCAGGGGTCGGACGAGATCGCCAAGTTGTCCATCTGACAAGGGCTGGAGTTTATTGTCGAGGAACGGATACGCGTTCATGTCCGTCAGGAGGTCCTGCGTACGTTAGTACAATGACCATGATTGCAGGGTTCCGGATACTCACGTAGATACTGCGGGGTTCGATTGCATCTGCCGTCCACTTGGCACAGAGAACTGCCAGTGAAAATGGGAGCACGTGGTCCAAACTACCGGTCAGTTCGAACAATATGACGGCAAGTGTCACCGACAGGCGTGTGACACCACACATGGTAGCACCGGCCGCAACCATGGCATAAACCCCCGGTGTCACGCAGGACTCCATACCAGCGACGGCCGGGCAAGAAGACCCGAAGAGGAACGAGTTTGGATATTTGAGCACCAAGTATTGTGCCACATGGCCAACGATGCGGCCCATGAGACCACCAACCACCATGGATGGAACGTAAATTCCAGCAGGCACTTTAATGCCAAATGTGACAATGGTAAGCAGACTCTTGATGACGAGAGCGACCAGCAGGTAGCGAATAATATCGCCAATGCGGTCTTCGCTGGGACACAAGCCCGTGGGTGATGATGACACATGCTCGCACGGGCTGGCCAACTCAAACATCAGCTCGGAAACAGGCAGCTTGGTGTACCGATTCCAGAACCCAACAAGTCCGGTCACCAAAGCCACGAGAACAACCTCAAGCATGGGATAGCGCTTGATGATCGGAATGCGTCGGAACGACCGCGCCCAGACGCTCGACGCTTTGATGAACAGAGCCCCGGCTGCTCCTCCAAGGACACCCAAGAGGATGAATATGACCATCTCGAACATTTCCCAATCCCCAAGATAGCGAACCTGAAACAAGACGATCTTGCCGGTACCGTAGGGATTGAGGAATTTGAGAGACAAGGCTGCTGCAATGCAGCAGAAGAACGTCCTGAAGAGTGTCTTCGGAGGGAAATAATAGCTGACTTCCTCGAGGCTAAAAAGCACACCACCGATAGGCGCCCCGAAAGCTACCGCAACACCGCTGGCAGCGCTGGCACTCAAGACCTCACGCCTCTTGCCGTCGTTCAGGTTGTATTTCGCAAACAAGCGACAGCAAATGTTTCCTACGCAGGTCGCGATGTGTACATATGGACCCTCCTTACCCAAGCTCAAGCCTGACGCGACACTAAAGACCAGAGCGACAGTCTTGACGACGAGAGTCTTGAAGCCTAGATACCCGTGCAAGACAAAACCGCTGTTGATGACCTTAACCTCGGCCACTCCACTCCCTGCCGCCGAGTAGTATGTCATGGCAGGCCGGGTAGGGATAACAGCACCCGGTGCTTGTAGACCATTGGGCGAGTCATGCGAGCTGGCATTTCCGGTCTTCCCTTTCGTACCGCGCGAGGACGCAGCTCCGAGGTTTTCGTCCAGAGTCGTCAACGAGATGGATGATGGCACCACCGTCTTTGTGAGTAAGGTGAGCGCACAAGAGATCATGGAGAGTAAGATCACCCAGAAAATGAACATGCCGTAATCGACCCACTGATTTTCGCTACCCGATGGGCTCAAAATGTTTGACCAAGATCTCCACGCGGGGCATTCTTGCCCTCCCGTGCAGCAGCTTTGGCGGCTATGGAACCAGTGTGTGGTGCAGAAACCCTCCTTCACATCGAAAACAAATTTCTCCGTCACGTCGACGGAAAAGGCGATAGCCGCGGTTATGCAGCCGATCAACGCTACCAGCACCCAGCCCTGACTGCCATCGAACCATGCCAGTAGGCGACCCCGGATGTCTTTCCGCCTCCGTAACTCTCGTAGGCGAGCGCCGTCCGCGATGCTATCATGGACCCAATCAGTCGAGGTGAATTGATCGTACCAGCTCCGTTCATCCAGGAACGAGGCAGTCATGTCGTCCTTGCCTGAGGGAGCGACACTCGCGGCGGGGTCACTGTCGCGACGGCTGAAACGCATCGCTTGCGAATTAGCGCGGCTGTGATGGCGTGATCGCCGGAGGCTGCCCGCCAACAAGCTATGTCTGAAGTTTAGATCGGGGCCCGAGTTGCCAGAAATGTTGGTGTAGGATCTCGGGAAATTGCGCCGGTGTTCGTGCCCTTTGCCTAACAAGCTGGTCGTCTCTCCTACTTCCATAGGCGATTCCAGCGCTTCATAACTGGTGTGGGCTTCAGACAAGTGACTGTGACTGCGCCGAAAGGCGGACGGCGAGGGAGGAGCCGTTTGAGCGCTGGTTCTTCGGCCATCGGTTTCGATCGAGACATGCTCGATGTCTGAAGGAGCCGAGGGAAACCTTTGAGGGACAGAACGAGGCATTTTCGGCGATGCGAGGTGAAGCAAGGGCTGCTTCCGACCTACTGATGGCTGTCTGAGAAGTAAAAGTTAACCCCGACTCCTAAGAACCCAAAATGCAGGGCAGGGGGGCAGATGGAGGGGTAGATAGGAGAAGTTCAAGGTAACAAACATTTTGCGATAACGGACATATCCATCCGCGCATCAACGCCGGGCAACTGCAGAGTGGAGACACGGACGAAAGTTCGACTGTGTTTGGATGCAAACAAGAAGAAGCGGTCGACGGCGGTGAGACACGGAGATAAGGAAGTGAGTGCAACCGAGCGGTCGATTGTTATGTCTAGTGGAAAGAGTAGCAACAGAGCGTCGGAGAGGATGAGACTATACACAAAGCAAAAATATGGTACAGCTGAAAGTAAAGAAAGACTAAAATAAGAGGCTGAAAGGAAAAGGAGGGGGGAGGGGAAGTAAATGCATAGGTAGTGACAGACACAGACCAGGCCGTCAAAAGAATGGAGGCGGGGAGAAGAGCGAAAGGAGAAAGCGATGGACTCGGGACCCATCGCGCTGATCGTCATCTGACTGCCTAAGCCTGTTTGGGGAGTCACAAACCCGGGACCAACAACCCCCCAAGCAGCGGTCAGACACACACTACAAGCCCACAAGGTGTTTGCCCAGTGGAGAGAGATGGTCAGTCCTTTCATAGTAGCACCACTAGGAGTATAGTGTTGTGGGTATGTCTTTGGTGAAGGAGGGAAGGCAAGATGTCATCGGACATCTGGAAACGGCACGTGTCCCTCCACCCGACAGCCATGCTTGTCAGCTATGTAGTATGCTTGTCAGCTTGTTGGTGTAACATGCCACAGATCCTCTTGGCAGCTGTACCCCAGACAGACACCTGTAATGCTGCATTACGTCAACTCACCCCCTAGCTGGCTTATAGCTGGCTTATAGTACATAACTTAACAAAGATAAATTAGACATGTTTATATATTAATATAAGGTTGATGTGGCCCTGTTTTGTCAGAAACGGGTGGTGTGATCTATGCGGCACCTAGTGTAGATTCCCGAGTCCCTTTTGTCCATCATCCGGTCCTTTGTTGCGTTTGCCTATTTTGTATATGTTGTAAACTAGCCCAACATCAACGCAACACCAAAACAGACCTCCTCATGAGCCTTCTACCATGCACCAAAACTTGGTATCCAGTCGATTCTCAAAAGTCCAAGGACCTAATCCTAGTATACTTCTTCTCCAACCCGTCTCTACTGTAACAACACTACGACGATCACCCTGATCAACAAGATCACCGCCAATCATTCCTCTTGCTCCATCAAGCGTCCCGCGCAAGCCCCTCTCCATTTATCTCCAATATCGCCACGAGGACACACAGCAATGACGCTAGCACAAATATCTGGACAGTTCTTCCAATCTCTTACCACGAGGCCTCGTCGCGAACACGCCAGAAGTTTGATGATGAGTAGGGCACGCTGGCGGAAAGATAATCGAAAACGGAGAGCAGACTTACCACAACTTCAAGGGAGAAGGACGAGATCGTGCCTGAGAAGTGGTACAGTACATCAGGAACGTACCAATGATGAAGTACAGTGAGAGGTAATTTAGGACCAACTGAGAGGTCAATCTGAAAATGGAAAAGCTAGAGCATGAAACAGAGGCCTTGGTACCTTTTCTAAAGGTTGAAACTGGAATCTCCAGACCGCGAGTGCCACTACAAGGATGCCACTTTAGAGTAAGTTGGGTTCGTGCTAACGCTCATATCTAAGGCTACAGGGCGAGGGACGGATCGACATCTTGACTGTGCTCCTCCCCAACATTTACCGACTGAGACATTGCCATGAACTTCTTGTTTTCAATTTCCTACCGCAGACACCGTCTCTATACGACACTGATCTGAAGCCCAGCCAAGTCACCAGCATCCCGCCACTCCTCCAAAACATCCATCCAATCGGCCATCCCGTGTGGCCACCGTGCAGAAGCCGCCAACTTCATTCTTTCCTCCATCGACACGTCTTCTAGGCTGCCTTCAGCATTCAAGTACGACGGGGTGCAACCCGCCAAGGCCGCCAGGGCCGGAGAACCGGCCTGGACTCGCAGCCCCCAAGCTGTCTCTGCATCCTGAGTAACTTCGATAGTCATCTTGCCGCTACCCTGCCGCTTAATAACTTCGGAAATGACGAAGGCCACATGCTTGGCGCATGTATCCAGCGTCGCAGTGTATGAAGGGAAATAGCTTGTCTGGCCAACACCCGAGAAGAACATGTTGGGGAAGCCACTGGTGGCGACGCCGTGTAGAGTCATGGGGCTTTGCACCCATTTCTCATCCATACTGCGACCCGCACGTCCAAACACCGAGACCTTCGCTCGCGCCCCAGGGCTTTCGAGCGGTTTCACATCGTATCCCATGGCGAGAATTAGGACGTCCACATCGAACTGCTCACCGTTGGCTACCACTCCGGTGGGTGTGATGGCTTGCACCCCTTTGCCGTTGGTATCGACCAGTCGCACATGCGGCTGATTGAAGGTCGGCAGATACTCGTCGTGGAAGCAGGGCCGTTTGCACCAGCTGGGATACCACGCTTTCAGCTGTTCGGCTACCGTCCGATCATGAATTATCTCGTCGACGCGGGCCCGGATGCGCTCGGCTCGAGGTAGGTCAAAAGCGTGCATCTTGCTAATATGAGCGGGGATCTCCTCCATGCTGACCGGACTGCCTCCGCCTCCGAGGACCTGCAAAGAACGAAAGCTAGTCCATCCATCTGCCACCAAATCGACGGGGGGTGGAGGCTGCGTGTCACACGTAAAGGAGACGAAGTTGCGGAACCGCGCCATTTGCCAACCAGGTCCCGTGGCGACGTTCTTGGTCCACTCGCCTAGGTCTGTGGAGCGTTGGTATCGCACACCGATTTGCGCGGGCGTCCGCTGGAAGACATACAACTGTTGACACCATTTGGCTAATTCAGGGACAATCTGGATGCCAGTTGCCCCGGTGCCGATGATCCCAACTCGTTTGCCCCCCAATTTACTTAAGACAGGGGTCTCGGGGCTACCCCCAGTAACGTCGTAATCCCACCGGGATGCCAGAAAACGGGAGCCCTGGAAGGAATCGAAACCAGCGAACTCAGACACCTTGGGTATGTTCAGTGGCCCAGGTGCGAGAATCACAAAGTCCGCATGGACGGTCGCTGAAAAGGATTCGCCTTTGGTTCCATCATTATCCAAGGGAGGCGGAAATTGAGTCATATTGAGCGTCCATTCAGCAGACTCATCACTCCAAGAACACTGGTTCACCTGCGTTCGCCACATGACGCGGTCCTCCAGCGACCAGTGCGCGGCGATACGTTGCGCATGTTCGCGAATCTCCTCCCCGGAAGCGTACTTCCGCTTGGGAATGTATCCCGTCTCCTCGAGCAAGGGCAAGTAGATGTAGCTTTCGATATCACACATCAGTCCCGGATACCGGTTCCAGTACCACGTCCCCCCGAAGCCCGCCGCCACGTCGACGAGGACAATCTCCTCCGGGCGGAAGCAGCCGGTTTGGAGGAGTCGGACGGCGAACAGGAGCCCGCCGAACCCGGCGCCCAGGATGACCACCTTGAAGCGGGCCCCTTCCTTCAGGGCCACAGAGGGAGCGGTTCCATCGTCCCACGGATCATGTAGGAGACGTTTCAGTTGAGGGTCCTCGGCTGAGGCCAGGCTGATGTACTGTGATAGGCCCTCGGGACGTCGACGCTTGTCGCGCTCTTCGGCGTACCGTTGCTGGATCTTTTGCATCTCGGATGGAGAGATGTCTGGAAGGCTGGGGGAAGCAGTAGCCTTTCCTGTAGTAGGAGCAAGCGTGGAAGAAGTAGTTTCAATCATCTCTGGACGCTACAATGATGTGCCTGCACTTGATGGGATGGCTGGAAGTGAAGATCGTTACTTACACCATTGCAGCAGAGGCTTTCCCTGGTTTTATAGTCACCCTTGTGCTAGTATATCCATGCCCAAGGCCCACCACTAACCCTCAGAAGGTATAAGCTCTTTGCTGTTAACTATAACTATTAGGGCTGAGTAAGAATATCTCGGTGGCGTACAACAACGAGAGATTAACGGGTTCAGCTCCGGTCGAGGTCAGCAATCAAGTTAGACGGCAAAGCCTTTTCCAGTCCAATCAACAGAAGAATTTAGGTACTCGAGCGACGTCACACAGCTCTATAGCCTTAAAGTCTTACCGCTGTCTCATTGGCAGCAATCCCCAAAGGGCTGTGGGTGGGATCGACAAAGAACAGCTCAGCTGAAATAAGCACTAAGCGCTTACCCTGCACCCCTGCCAGAAAGTAAGTGGGGCTCGCGATATGGTTGGAGCTTTCGTCTACTTGCTTACGGGGCGGAGAGTGCCAACTGGAACTAAGTTTAATAGGTATCAAAGTCCACATCGTTGAAGTTGTCCAGTGCCATAAGTTTCCGACAGTGAGTGGATTGCTTGGCTGCTTGAGTCAAAATCATCACCTTTTCCTGTGCTTGAGCTTTTGGTTCATTGCGCCACGGGTGCCGAGGCTGAGGCCGGGACGGGCTTTGCCGTCTGATTTTTGATATTGGTGTGGTGTGGTTCTTTGCCAATGGAGGAAGTGCAGAGGAGGATAGATGAGGAGGTATGGGTGCAATTATTATGCGCGTTCACCCGAACGAATTGTGTGAATTCGAGGGGACTGACTTATGGAAAGCATCTCACAGTTAAAAGAGGTTCCCTTTTTCAGGCAGTGGGACACTTCGTTCCACTCCTAATTATCTAGACTTGAGAATCCATATAATATTATCCGTGTTGAATGCAGCTACTCTAAGACTAAATCGATCATGGTAACCTCACCAGCAACACTCTGTGAATGCAGTGAACTCCATGATCAGACAATCTAGGCCGAGATGCCTCAATAAGAATGGAATCGACTCGATGCTCGAGGTATAAAGAACCGGTCTTACTGAGCGATCACTGAGGTGCATCCTATCTATCCAGAAGGTATTGTTGACATGATGACCCCGATCTGAGCAAATGATCAAGGGCTGTTACAAACCAAACCCAACAAGCAAGCAGCAAATGCTTCCAACACCTTAGCTCCGACCAAATCCCACAAACGCTCAAACTCTCGACCATTCCCAGATTCAGGTATCGTACCTCCAGTAAATATCATACGATGTCCCAGCCCGATGCCGACATTGATCCCGCCACTGTTCATCCGGAGGCCACTGTAATCCTCCTAAACTCCTCTTCACGTAGAGCCTGTTGAAGTCAACTGGTTGCTGTAGAGGAATGGGCGTAACCGGTGGGAATCGAGCTGGAAGACCAGTACCAGCTATAGTGGCCGGATCATCTGACCCCACTAGTCCCCTTATCAACCACCACTCGCCAGTGGTTTATCCATCATGCTCTGTTGATGTTTGGAGTCGACTTTTCACTGTCACGGTATGCCCATTTGCATAATCATTGCCTAGGATTCTGCTGAGACAATTGGCAGCAAACAGGGATCAAAATCGGATTTATCACCCTCCAGACTGGTTTCGGTTCGATTCTGGCACCGTAATCCTTGAGAGAAAGTCCCCGCGCGGTCACATGGCGAGGTGCTTGTATCTCAACCAAGCAACAATTGACCGGTAGTAAGAGGGGAAACAACCACGGTAAGATCCGGGCCATTTGCGCAGTGTCATCTTCGCTGGAGCCTGTCGCATATGAAATTATGTCTTAAGTTTCATACTAGTAGAGTGTCAAACGCCAGAGACCAGCTTACTGGACCGAAACCGACGGATCTTCCCGCCGGCCCCTGCCAAACATTTACATTGCAGGGATGATGCGGCTATGATTCAGAAATTGACATATCATGGTAGCATAGCCAAATCCAGGGGCACGGTTTATTTAAACCATCCCTACCCCTCCACTTCCTCCCTTCCCACCCAATCCATCCTTGTCCACTGCAACAACTATTTACTATTCCAGCTGAAAATGGGCCAATCTCCCTCCACCCCCAAGCCCGACACCACCATCCAAGTCATCGGCGCCGGTCTCTCCCGCACAGGCACTGCCTCGCTCAGCGCCGCCCTCTCCATCCTCCTGGAGGGCCCCGTCTACCACGGCGGCACGCAGATCACCCTCGGCCCGCCCACGGAGCTCCCGCGCTGGAACCACCTTCTTCGCACATGGCTGCGCAATGACACCGACCACACGCTGTCACTCCTCCACTCCCTCACCACCGGCTACGCCGCCATCACGGACGCGCCCGCTTCACACTTGGTACCCGAGCTGCTTACGCTCTACCCGGACGCTAAAGTGGTCGTCACGGTGCGCGATCCGCAGGCCTGGAGTCAGAGCATCGACACGCTCTCCTCGGTTGTGGCCCCGTGGTTCTTGTGGGCCGTCCTACTGCCCCTGCCCGGGATGCGACATTTCATGACCTTCATCTCGTTGGTGAGAGCGCAGTGGGCGCGAGTCTACGATGGCAAAGCGCAGGATAAAGCGTGGGTCTACCAGCGCCATCTGGAGTGGTTGAGGGAGGTGGTCCCGGCGGATCGGTTGGTGGTGGTTGATGTTCGGGACGGGTGGGAGCCGCTCTGTCGGGGCTTGGGGAAGGAGGTCCCCAAGGATGTGCCGTTTCCCAAGATCAATGATTCCAAGGCGATGGAGCGGGCGGCGGCGCATTACATCAGGAAGGGTTTGATGCGATGGGCGGTGATTACAGGGGTGCTTGTGATGGGCACGGCTTGGTGGGTCAAAAGGGGGTAAACCATGTTTTGCAAGATTGGAACTGTGTTGGAGTCTGCAACATTGGCGTTTGAGCATGGGTATCTGATTTGACTCGCTTTGCAGAGCTCTGTTATGTCCAGGAAATTGCCAGACCGCGTGAGTGAGGGATGGAGGTGTTCTCCTGACGACAATTTGTTGTATATTATGCTGTAGTTGTATGCACTGCGCTGTTTTCCACCCCTGGAGTAAGTGTGGCTGTGCCTACTATGCCTTAACAGGAACATGCTCCGATCCCATGCTTTTTTGAACATCAAACCGCCGCTGCTATGTCGTCGGCTGCGCTAGCACTGTTTCTTCGCTGGCCTTGCACTTCTACCCAGTGCTGGTGACGATCGCCTTCAGGCGTAACCAACACGCGCTCTTTCTTGTATTGATGGGTACTGTTGAAGTCAGCAAAATCCAAATTCCATCTCCCCGAGACAGGAACTAGTCCGTGCAATGGACAGTAGAGCCGGGTGCAGACGCGCGTTTTGAAGCTGTCGAATGTCGCATATGCATTTGGCACCGAAGAGATGGTTGTGGATCGACTGCCTCGACAGGTGATTTGTGAATCTGAAACCAAACCACTGGTTACTCCTCAACAAATGCGGACAAGTCGTCCAGTGCAGAATGATCAAGCAAGACATCTCTCGCCACCATTCGGGGGAGGGGGAGGGGGGGGGGGGGGGGTGGTTTAAATTATTCAGGATCCCATCTGGCATTTGGCAGCTGTCAAGAGAGTCGGGGGGATGCCGCCTCTACAATCTACTACGTCGATCTAACGTCCTCGGCTCACCCGGATGCGATGGTGCCCTATTTTGCATGTCCGCACCGAAGTTTGCTTTACTTTGCCTTTAGTATAACGTCCCGGAGAACGAGTTGCTTATTTTGCAATTCTTGGTTTACGGAGATTGGTAAGCATCGGTTCCGGGATGAGGAACGGGAACATCGCAACTCACAATACCTATTTCCTATTAGCTCATCTTCTTTTTTATTCTCACAGTCCACTATTCACACTGTCCCGATTATCCTTGACCTCTAGATGGACCACAACCCGCCTCAGTACAATCCATAACCCAAACACAGCCCCAACGAATAGAAACACTTTGACAAGAATGACCAAGTTCACTGTCCTGGCTGCTCCACAACTCCTTGGCTCCTCCCACATTGAGGCCTCGCCGTTTAGACGAAACAGCATATCTTCATCCTCTCGAGTGGCAAGGCGCCGGCGAAATACCTGTGCAATCTCTCTGCCAAGCCCAGGCAGGTCACTGAGTTCCTTCAATGACTCGATATTCTTTCGATCTTCCCAGAGGATTTTCCCCACCTCGCTAATCGACCATCTGGGGTTGATTCGACGTACTAATCGAATACGATCACCAGCCTGTATGAAACCCGGTTTCAAGACGCGCAGATACCACCCGGTCCGTCTGGTCGTTTGCGTTCGGATTGAAGCTTGCGCGAACTCAAAGCGGCGATTTAGCTTGAAACATGGCTGTCGGGGCTCACTGACTTGGACTAGAACGTCTTCAGAACCGATCTCAAGGATATCGCCGATGCAGGTGTTGGTCTCATCGAAGGAGTGTGCTGAAATATTCTCTCCGTACCCGCCCACGTTGAACAAGTGTGCTCGCTCGGGAACCTCTCGCTTCCAGGCCTCGTAGTGACGAGAGCAGTATTGATGCAAGGCTTTATCGACCCCACCATGGTGTTCGTACGCCTGTTCATCGCCAGTCATACCCTGGTCGGTGACATACACCCTGCCCGCACATGGTGACTTCTCGATGGCTGAAGTCACAGACCCTGGTCCCAGTTGTTTGACTTTGCCAATCCGCACACATGACACAATATCGTCTGCAGGCAGTGGAGCCACAGAATTGGATTCATTTAAGAAATCAGACATGATAGATGACCTTTTTCTGGGGACATGAACTTTCCAGCACAACTCGTGGCGAAGGCCGTCTTTTAACAGGCTTGAAGGCTTAGTACCTATACTATGCTTGGTCCCCGCCCCCAATCTCGGCTTGCATGACAACGCAAACAAGGTAACGGCTCTGCCAAGCGCAAAACCACAGTTGCATGTCTGAAATCAAGGCTGGGGCAAACAAACACGCAAGATTCACGAACAAGGTAATTAGATACAATGACCTCTCACTCCCCTGACATTTACCCACACATACATGATCATCCTTGAATCTAGGGCGTCTACCCATAATGTCAACCGATTACATCACATCGCAATACAAGGATTTTGATCCTGTGATATCAGCCTGCATGGCCACAGAACTCTATCAGAAACCAAGATGCGCCAGTGTATGTGCATCGCTTTCCAACCATGGGTGGGCTTCCTGGGAACTACGGATCAACGCTTCACAGTGTGGACTCCGCGCTCGAACCCGAAAGTCAAATGGCGCTGGGTGACTGATAACCCCTGGCTGGAACTCCGGGGTCATTTGCTTGTGTTTCTCATCCTGGCTACTTTGCCTTGTTTTGACCTCGAATACAGCCAGAAACTGCACAACGATGATGAAGATTGACGATTCTGCCAGTATACGTCCGGGGCAAAGTCGCCGCCCGAAGCCGAATGCCATTTTCCGCGGATCAAGCTCCGGGCTCTTACCCTCCAATGACAGAAAACGCTCAGGCTTGAATGTCATCGGGTCATTGTAAGTGTGCGGATCATGCATAAACGCCCTTCCAACAGGTGAGCGTATGAGCCTGAGATATCCGGAAGGAGGCTTACCAGACGTTGGGCAGAATGATTGACTCTTTCGGGATAAAGTACCCATGAAAGCTATCGCTCTCCACATTGGTATGCGGTAATGCCATTGGAGTGACCGGATGCCATCGAAGGACTTCTTTCACGAGCGCATCGATGTAGGGTAGCTCCGAACGATCATTGAAAGTTGGAAGCCTGTTTTTGCCGATCACCTCGTCGACCTCAGCTTGCGCCTTTCCTTGGACATCAGGATACAGAGTCATTGCGAGAATAAAGGTTGAAAGAGCTGATACAGTCTACAGCGTGTCAGCAATACTTCTACCCACTGTTGTGAAGTGGGACAACATGCAGTGTCAGCTCCTGCGCTGTAGAGCGACAAGGCCGTCCATTTGTGGCTAGACTCGTCATTGGCTGCGCGTAACAATTGCGATAGAAAGCAATCCGAGTCTTGTGGGGTTTCCATCTTATGCCGCACAAATGCATAAGGTAGCTCAGTCATTCTCGTCAGGTTCTGTCGCAAGCGCTTTGCAACTCTCTTGAAATTCATTCCCGGTATCCAGTCTGGGAGAACTCGCACTGCTCCTGATTAGTTCTCTTTACGAAAGAAGAAGGAGTACATACAACATGGCACTAAATCCACCAAGTACTCCCCGGGAAGAGAAGCCTGTGCAAACTCCTCCATTACCTTATGCGCCAACTCAACTAGAGGATCTGAACCTTGTTTGTTCGTCTTGTATCCGTAAACCAGGTTGAGAATGAATGATCCTGCTTCGCTTGGACAAAAATTCTTGTCAGCTCATTTCTGTATGCAAGAAGCTCATGCAGGATGACGAACCTTCGGATGTGTTCTACCAAGTCATCGGGATTTTCCAGTATGCGGGCGAGAAAATGAGCGGCCTCTTTCTCCTGCACGGGTTCAAATCGAGCCGCTGCGGTTGGCGAACCAAGCACACGCATCGTATTCTTCCTATGAATGCGCAGCCGTTCCGAGTAAGGTGACAGAGCTACAGATTGGCTCCATCCAATCCTGATAGAGTTTGGTCATTTGCTCACTTGTCGTTGCCGTGCATATACCACGGAGAAAGGGGAAATACATGTCACCACAAAACACCTGCCGTGGTCTGGATGAATAGATGGCCCCTCGCTTTTCGAGCATCTCAAAGGCCAAACTAACATCGTTCAATATCACAAACGTTCGACCCATGACTGTGACGGAGCTAATTGGGCCTTTGCTGGCATGTCAACTCCGCACGGCGTAAACCTTTCACGGCTATCTTGGTTAGGCTGTATACTCACCGTATAGATCACGATGGCGCAGCCAGTGAAGGTACTCCTTCTGACCACCTTTTGGTAGAGCATCGAGATTTCCAATCCAGGGAATCACGCTCCTAGGTCCGGGTGGAAGAGGGGGCCTGTGGCGCCAGCGTCCCGCTAGAGCTACAACCAAGTAGAGACTTATGATAGCGGGGAACAAAACAAATAGGTCTGTCATATGGAACATTGCGACGATCGGATATGGAAATCAGATGCAAACCTAGCGAATATCTTGCAGCAGGTCTACTCCATCAACAGTGCCTACTCTATGCGCCTGGTCCCTTTATAGCCATATTGACCGCGATTCAACGTATCGCGAACAAGGCCGCTGGCTGATCGACAACCGGGTTCAGAGCCCAGCCAGATAGGTTTCTTTCCGATTTCCAAACGCTTTGGTCGCTCTGCATGCCGGCCTGCAGAAGGCGACTTCAGCCGCTACCGCGGGGAGGGAGCGGAGCTGCATTGGGCAGAAATCTTGGCCCAGAAATCCCTCATATCACAAGTGCAGCTCGACCAACATTTTTCTTGAAGAAAGGCTATCTCCAGCGTAAGAAGCATCTTCCAACAACACGAAAGACTTGCCAAGCGGATTCAGTTGCCTCTGCCAAAGTTGACAACATTAGAGTCCCGCAAACTGGGCACAGGCCACGCCGAGTCAACTGGCGCCATGTTCACTCTCTGAACCGTTTATGGTGTGTGATAAAGTTTATCATCGAAGGGAAGAGGTTCAAGGTTCTGACGAACGTGTTGTCATAGTGCATGGTGCTACTGTGAGGAAACTGTTTCGGCTGTCGAGTGCTGTCGAGTGGTCGCTAATCGTGAGTGTTCATAGGCGGCTCAAGTCGTGAAGAAACTCTCTTTGACGGCCACCGAGCTCGTTGGCGGATTCTTAATCCGTGATGCGAATCTGCCAATGCTGAAGATATCTGTAGATCTCGCGCTTTGACTGTGGCCTAGGCTCGGGGTCTGCTTTCTTGGTTGAGGGTACCATTCCCCGTGAGCTGGGTACGCACGGACTCGCAGTCGGGATTTTCTGGCCAACTCTTGAATCCGGTATCATGATTCAGTTCACTATGAGCGATTCCTGCATCAGGAACTGCTCCACAGTCAGGCTCAAAGTCAATCAATTGCAGTAGCCATGGCTTTGAGACTTGGCTCGGGTCACTGCCTGCAACTTCTGAACTATGCATTGTCTCCTCGTGACAAGAATGGGCCCTCGCAAAGCCCTACTCTTCTAGTCCGTCTGCTTTCATCACAATAGCAAGGATCAGGTTTCGCGAACATACACGACAGTTCACGGGTGTCGCCATTGTGACTTCATCCGCTGGATTCCGAAGTATCATCCAGAGCTGAATGTACCATGATCTGTGGAAGGTTTGACCTTATTCCTCGGCTGAGAAGTATGGAACGTCGAGAACCTGATCCGCGCAGGCAATAACTTTCAATAACCTGATTTACACAGCATGAGACTTGATTTCCATGAAGTATCAGTTTGAATCAGGTATGATGAAATGAGGCTAGGAGCAACGAAGCACTTCTGCTGGGAGGGATAAGAAGCGACGAGGTTGTATGATAAGCCCAGTGATCCCAGAAACAAGCTTATCAAATCTAAAATATCTCGCATCTACGGTAATCATGGCAGAAATGAACGGTATGGTGGTCATTGGCGCTGGTAAGCCGCACATTGTCACCGAGGCGGATGTGTTCCACTAATCAGCTGTCGTGATATGCATCAGGCCTGTATGGCCTCATGGCCGCGAAAACGTATCTAGATGTCAATCCCACTGCTACTGTGGAGATTCTTGAAGCGGGTCGTTCCGTGGGAGGAGTGTGGGGCCGGGATAGGCTGTGCCGCGGCGTCAAGACAAACAGTATCGCGGGCAGCTATGCGTACAGCGACTTTCCCATGTCTGAGGCACGCTTCGGTGTGAAGTGGCACCAACATGTACCAGGTGAGGTGGTGTACAAGTACTTCGAGGCCTTCGCAACGCAGTACGATCTCCACCGCCGTATCCGTCTCTCGTGCCGTGTTGAAACCGTGGAGAAATGTTCCGACGGGTCGTGGTCCATCTCAGCCATTCAAGACAAGCAACCCATCACGATCAACACACGTCGTCTGATCGTCGCAACAGGCCTGGCCTCCGAGCCTGTTATGCCCCAATACCCTGGCGCCTCATCCTTCGAGCGTCCACTACTCCACTGCAGAGACCTTGCCAGTCACCACGAGCTATACAACACCGCGAAAGCTGTTGCAGTGATGGGAGGCTCCAAATCCGCCTGGGACGCCGCCTACCAGTTCGCCTCCCTAGGCACCCGGGTGCACTGGATCCTGCGCAAGTCCGGCCACGGGCCCGCGCGCCTTTTACCGGCACAAGCCACGCCCTTCCGCCTCTGGATGGAGAAGATTGTGACCACGCGGTGCATGACCTGGCTAAGCCCCTGCCCCTGGGGCGACCCGGACGGCAACGGCGGCGGCTGGATGCCGCGCTTCCTGCAGGGCACGACAATGGGCCAGTGGATCTCGCGACACCTCTGGACCTGGTTCAGCACCACGTGCCTGCAGGACCCGGCCCTCGTCCGCAGCGCCGAGACCCGCAAGCTGCAACCCCAGGCCATCAAGCCGTTCACTCCAGCCGGCGGCTTCAGCGCCCGCAACTACCCGCCCGACTTCTTCCAGTACATCGACAGCGGCATGATCCAGATCCACACGGCCGACATCGACCATCTCGCTGCCCCGGGCCTCGTTCACTTGCATGACGGGTGCTCCCTCGACGTCGACGCCCTAATCGTCTCCGGGGGCTGGCAGCACTGGCCGACCATCAAGTTCCTGCCCGCCGAAGTCCACGAGCAAATGGGCTTCCCCCGCACCCAGGGCGCGCGCAACCCGCAGGCTGAGCGCATCGATTGCGAGATCCTCCTCCAATTCCAGTTCCTGAACAACGGTATCATGGATAAAGACGCTGTCGCCGCTGCTGCTGCTGCTGCTGCCGCCGCAGACACAAAGGTGCCACACCGCGACGACGCCCCCTGGCGCCTCTACCGCTTCATGGTGCCCCCGGCCTTCATCAACGACCGCAGCATCGGCTTCGCCGGCTTCGTAGCAACGACCCTCAACGCCGTGTGCGCGCAGACGCAAGCCCTCTGGCTCACGGCGTATTTCAGCAGTAGTGGTGGTGGTGACGATGACAATCGCTCAGACAACCCCACCACATCCTTACCAGTAGGCCGAGGCACCCCCGACCAGATCTGGCGGGACACGCTGCTGCACTCACAGTTCTCGCAGTGGCGGTACCCCGGGAGCTTCGGGCACCGGTTCCCGATCGCCTTCTACGAGGGCCTGCCGTATGTGGATCTGTTGTTGAAGGATCTGGGCTTGCGGGTCAGAAGGAAGGACGGGGTGCTGCGCGAGTGGTTCGAGAGTTATGGGCCCGAGGATTATTGTGGGATTGTAGGGGAGTGGTTGCGGTTGTGGAGGGGAGGGGAGAAGGTTTGAGTAGTTCGCCTGCATTCATTCACCTTTTTTTCTATATTAAGATCAATTGTCCCACACCACGGCTTCTCATTACAGGGGAACCCTCGCTTCCTGGTTCATTGGCTCATGAACCATCCCACTCCCTCTGCTTGAGCGCGAAGGAAAGGCATACCCAAAAAGCTATCCCGCCCACCGAGTTCGCAAACCAGCTATTCTACGCACCAACATGAATCATGAATACAGAGTGCCCACATCGTCGGATCTCTTAGGAACTCGCCCCGAATCCGCAGCAGCGCATCCCGGAGGGCCCGCGCCGCCCGCGCCACCAGCCCCCGATTGCTGTTGTGTACCGACTCGACCGTTCACCGATGGTGCCGCCGCCGCAGCGGCTCGCCTCGCCAGCAAGGCTGTGTAGAAATGCGCCGCCATGCGGACGCAGACCAGACCTCATCGTCCGCCGAGGGCGCGTTCAGCCTGCACAATGACCAAATCAAGCAATTCCACACTCAGACCTGCATGACACATGTGTTCGTAAGCCTACAGGTATCGATTCAACTGTAGATCATCGATAACAGAATATGGGTTTGAGGTGTTAGAGTAGACGGGGCTGTTTAGATCGACCAAACCGTTGTCCTTTGTCTATATAGTACCCCTTTGGCAGAATCTGAGCACATACGACCACAGGGTGTGGAAAACAGGGCTTCCCGTCCGCTCAGCCGTACTTAAGCCACACGCCGGGAGGTTAGTAGTTGGGTGGGTGACCACCAGCGAATCCCTTCTGTTGTATGTTTTTGCCTTATTTTTTGGCTTTTGCTCCTGTATTGCTTACAGTACTCAGCTCGGTCCGCACTCAGCCAGGCAGATGAACGTCGACGGACCCTCGTTGGTGCCCCACTCAAAAAAAGCATGCACCGGACAAGTCTTACAAATTCAGATGCAGAACCTATTGAAAATCAACGCACCCAACCGACATGCCATCTCTTCACGGCAAACGTGCAGATGACTCTCCCTCTCGGTGCAGCCAAGCCCTTGAGCCCTGTCCGCCGTCGGAGGCAATCCCGCTTATCCGTTGTCCATGGTTAATTCGAAGCCCGTCCGGTAATTTAGCCATGCGCGGGGAAAGTGATCTGCAGGTACATTTATATGTACATCTCAGTGCATACAGTACTTCTTCTCGCCGATTTGTTTGTCTTGAGTGGTTGATAAGTGCTGGTGCGGAGGGCCAACGCTTGCTCTTTTTCGTGCAGTCCTTCGTACCTTTTGCGGACTTCAAACCACAGAGAAGAGATGCTCGTCATGGTAAGACTAGATCATTCCTTTCAGTATAACCATAATGGCACAAATGTATACGGCGGAGCTTTCCATTCTCGAAGCGGACCGGAGATCTGTCTTGGCCGGAGCGACTTACGACCGAGCGACCACCCCCCCGTGGGGAATCAAGCTTAGTTCTGATGAGCACCTCAGTCTTGAAGAGCAGCCGACAAGGACCCAGCCACGTCTTCAGACCTGCACTGAGCTCGTCAACGTGAAAATGCTGCACATTCTTGCGTCAGTTACCCCGGCTTTTCTCTTGGCTGGCCACAAAACCCTACCATACACGAGCGGAGATGGTATTCCAAGGCCTTGGCTCTGGAGTCGCAAGACAAATCTTCGAAGTCTTTCTTGCTGAAGTATCTTTCCTCGCCCGTATGCTCGAGCACACGATCCCGTCCTTGGTTCTCAGTCAGCGGGATACACGTAGCTCTTGGCTCTATAGGTCGCACGCCGCGGACTCTTTAAGGGGAAAGCTCCGTGAATCGGGTTCTGGAAGAGATGAAAGAATGTAGTGGAAGTTCCCGAGGGAGATGAAGATATAAAGGTCGTACTCGTCCTGGTGAAGACAGTTGAATCGACAGACTCATCTATAACAAGCTCGTGTCAGCATCGATCCGACGAAAAACTGCATCAACATGCTTGTCAAACTCATCTCTTTTCTTTCAGCTGCTACGAGCGTAGCTGCTCATGGTCATGTGTCAAACATCGTTATCAACGGGGTGTCCTACCGTGGATGGGACATCAATTCGGACCCTTACAACTCCAACCCTCCGGTGGTGGTTGCATGGCAAACACCCAACACAGCTAACGGCTTCATCTCCCCTGATGCATACGACACAGATGATGTGATTTGTCATCTGAGCGCCACGAATGCCAGAGGCCATGCAGTCGTTGCTGCTGGAGACAAGATCAGCCTCCAATGGACGACCTGGCCTGACAGCCACCATGGTCCCGTCATCAGCTACCTAGCCAACTGTGGCTCCAGCTGCGAGACAGTCGATAAGACCACCCTCGAGTTCTTCAAGATCGATGGTGTTGGCTTGGTGGATGAGAGCAATCCTCCTGGTATTTGGGGAGACGATGAGCTCATCGCCAACAACAACTCCTGGCTGGTGGAGATTCCGGCAAGTATCGCGCCAGGATACTATGTGCTGCGTCACGAGTTGATTGCTCTGCATGGAGCTGGAAGTGAGAATGGAGCCCAGAATTACATGCAATGTTTCAACCTTCAGGTTACTGGAACCGGCACGGTCCAGCCTTCCGGAGTCCTGGGCACGGAGCTGTACAAATCCACAGACGCTGGGATTCTTGTCAATATCTACCAGTCGCTCTCCACCTATGTTGTTCCTGGCCCGACCCTGATCCCCCAGGCCGTCTCCCTCGTTCAGTCGAGCTCCACCATTACCGCCTCGGGCACGGCAGTGACAACCACAGCTTGAGCGGCGACCGCAAACGTTTGACAACCGTCGTGTCTAGTACAGACTCGGTTGACCAGATTGTTGTGAGATTGTTGCTGGAGTGAAGAGATGAACTATAGCTGTTTCTGGAGCGCATGAAGGGGTTCTGTTTCTCCTTTGCCAAACAGGGCGATTTCTTGTTGCGAATGTTTCTACCACCACTCGTTCGTACATATAGTTGCCAACAGGAAGTGTCAGTATACCACATTCATTCAAAATAAACTCAACGGATATGCTGTGAATGAATTGCGCAATATACACTTTGACTCCGTAAGATACTCATTAGTAGACTCCTGCGGGCAGTAGTGCGCCCCCATGTCTGCCGTGTGTTGGTGCAAGAAGGCGGTCGGGCGGTGAATAGTCCTCACAGAATTTGCTTGACAATAGCGTAAGAGCGGGATCCGTCAGCTTATCACGGGTTGGAGCTACGCTACTGTACTGTGTTCCAGCTCTCGATCGGATTGTTCCAGCATCTTACCCAACCTGGTCCTTATCAATCGCGCGGTACGGGCGGTCGGAAAAGTGACCCACAGGCTGCACGTTTCCTTAATACATCTTACTGAGAGTTGTTCACATGAAGCAATCTGCTATCATACTGACAGGTGTGGTGCAAGCAGATGAACCGGGGTCAAGAGGGGGGTCCGACCGCTCGTGGAGTGCACTAGACCGGCATTGATTAGTCTTGCATTGTTGTTTGCTTATCGTTTATAATCAGATTGAACCAGCAATTAACACAGACAGACCCTGCTTGCATCTCTAGATGCAGCTGAGCTAAGAGCTGGTCGACTAGGTGCTGTGTGGGGGGAGGCCACAGGAATGGGACTCACATTGCCACCGACTATCTCGTTGCAGACGTCAGCTGGGCTTGTCTTGACCGGTGCCTCAAGAAGCTAAGCGCCACATTCCTTCGCACTCACACGCCCTGACTCCTGTTGGGAAAATTCCGCTGCTGCGAATCACGTGTCCGTCAAGCTTTGTGGGGATCGGAGAATACGACGCTTAGCACTTCGGAGATAGAATGCAAAGCGCTGCAACGGCCGCATCGCTTACAAACGCTGGAGGCCATGGAAGTTGACATCTCGCTCTTCAAGTTGGTGTGAAGTTCTTTCTGCTGTCTCATTGCCTGGACTATTTTCGAAGCGACCGGTGCAGTTGGTGAGGAGGAAAGGGCAGTTGAGGCCTTCCCCACAGATCCGGGGTTGTGAGGAAGGGAAGACCGAAGTGGGTCAAACCGCCCGGTCGTCCGGGGCAGATTGACTAAAAGGGCAAGATCCGACTCCGGGCGAGTCACTCTTCCAGCACGCTTAATTCCGTCTTTTCTGTTCGCTTCAGCCATCGCCACCTTCCACATCACATTGATTGGGCAAGCGAGGGGTTGAGAATGCTGTTTGTGGGGATCTGACCCATCCCCACGCTCCTCTCCACACCTCGTGTCCAGCTATCGCCTCCTCTCACTCGCTGATGGCCCACCCCCAGACATACGTACGCAAACCCCGGACCTCGCTCAACTCTACAATCTAGATGTATTGCCCGTCAGAGCAATTAGCGCTTGTTCAACTTGGCTCTAGCTGCGGAATATGCGGAGAAGGACCGTGAGCAATGGCCGTTTCGCTTATAAACCTGGACGGCCCTTATCTGGGGTCCAGTTCTTTACAACCCTTCCACTCTCTTTCCTCGAGAACTCTCTTGACAAGTCGCCCAACAGTCGTGGTCCCTGTCAGGAATAGCCTTACCAGAATCATAACCTCAATCAATCTATTACTTCCGCTCAACAGGAGGAGTTATGCCCTCCATCGAAATGACGGAGGACGTCCGTCCTTCTTCCTCGCCCAAGACCCACGAAGAAACGAAAATCGAGAAAGATAGCAGCGAATACTTTGAGAAAGTTGAAGAGGGTCCCTCTTCCTATGCCGAGATTGCCGCCGCGTCCCTGTCACAATCACACAAAGACTATCTTATCCAGCGCCATGGAACTCTAGATCTGGATCCGATCCCCAGTCCGTCGGCCGCGGATCCATACAACTGGCCCCTATGGAAGGTAAGCACTGCTTGCATCTTCCCCGACGGTATAGCATACTAAGCATGCTGCTTCTCATAGAAACTGTCCAACCTGATCCTCGTTGCCTTCCATGCCTGCATGGCTACTTTCACAGCGTCCATCATCCCCGCCTACTCCAGTATTGCAGAAGACTTCGGAGTATCAATGCAAAGAGCGAGTTACCTTACCTCATTACAGATTGCTATTCTGGGAGGTGCACCTTTATTCTGGAAGCCCTTATCCAACCGCTACGGACGCCGACCAATCTTCCTTCTATCACTCATTTGCAGTCTGGTATGCAATATCGGCTGTGCGAAAAGTCCTGATTACGCATCTTTGGCTGCATGCAGAGCCCTTACGGCCTTCTTTATCTCTCCTGCAGCGGCGATCGGGAGTGCCGTCGTTACCGAGACATTCTTCAAGAAGGAACGCGGCCGATACCTTGGTGTCTGGACCTTGATGGTGACGCTCGGTGTTCCAGTTGGTAAGTGTTTCTCTCCGCGACCGATTGAAATTTCATTTCTAACAGTGCCTTCCAGGACCATTGATTTACGGATTTATTACATACAGAGTCGGTTGGCGGTGGATGTTCTGGGTTCTGGCTATTGTCAACGGTGTCCAATTCGTCTTGTATCTCTTCTTCGGCCCTGAAACCCGATACCTCGGCGGCAGTGCAGAGGGTATCTCCGACTTCAAAGCGCAGTACCTTTCTTTCCGGCGGATCGACCCGACTCCCCTGACGTTCCGCGAGTTCCTCCATCCTCTGTCTATGGCCAAACGACCCAGTGTGATGATTCCCGCATGCGCGTACGCCATGGTTTTCTTGTTCGGCAGTGTCATGATCACGGTGGAAGTTCCCCAGCTCGTGCAAGTCAAGTTCGGACTCAACGCCGAACAACTCGGCCTCCAATTCATCGGCGTTATTATCGGTACCGTTCTGGGTGAACAGATTGGTGGCACCATGTCTGATATCTGGATGAGCCGCCGGGCACGCAAGACTCAACACCGGCCTGAGCCCGAGTATCGTCTCTGGCTCGGCTATCCCGGTGTCATTTTGACAATTGTCGGCGTGATTGTCTTCTTGGTGACTATTCAACAAGCCAAGGCAGACCACTGGGTTGTTTCCCCTCTGGTCGGCACCGCCATTGCTGCCTTTGGCAATCAGCTGGTGACAACTGTCATGGTCACCTACGCCGTCGACTGCTACCCCGAGGATTCGGGCAGCGTTGGTGTCTTCATCACCTTTGTCCGTCAGATGTGGGGCTTCATCGGTCCATTCTGGTAAGCTTACTGTCGATGCTCTTCCACCAATGAATTATGTGCTAACATCAAGCAGGTTCCCCGACATGTTTGACAATGTTGGGATCGCCGCCAGCTCAGGAGTCGGAAGTGCCCTGATGTTCCTGGTCAGTTTCTTGCCTATAATTGCGGTGCAGATCTATGGCAAGAAGTGGCGTCAGGCTGCTTAGGAAGATAGTTCATGATATTTACGGTTTCTATGGTTCAATTACATTTCAGCTTATCTTTACTCGAGTATCCAAGGTGGGAAGCATCTTGACAACGTAAAGTACCCAATAGGGATACCCACATCAATCACCTGCTACCAGATCCATGTACTCTGCATAGTCTACCCCAGCTTTGTAGTGCCGCCAGCCCCATGGGCCTCCACGTGGCAGTACGAAACCAACCCAGGCAGCTAAACATTAACCCACACATGACTACTTGGTAGACAGCCTCCAGCACCCGCTAATTGCCCTTTTTGATTGCCTTCCATGAGTCCGAGCCAATACAGTAGACTGTGGGGTTTGCGCGGGTTCTCCACAGAAGCGAGCCAAGAGACTCTTTCCCTGCATCCATCCCACATCTCCCCAAGATTAGAAATCATGTACTACACGTTTGTACAGTACTTGGAGCCTAAGCATCAAGCACAGCTAGACAAGCACTATCCTCCACAATCGCATTCAGCGATATAAACATCTATCTCCCTAAATATCTACGTCCGAATGTGATTAAATTGGGTTTACAACCTTGGGAAAGTCGGTGTAACGACCGAAAATCCTCGGCCGAACCTCAGGAAATGCGTACTCCGGCGCCCCCTGCCCAGCTTTCGCCCTGTGAGGCATGGCAAAGCTTACACGATCCTCGGATCCGGTAGCCCCTGTCTCTGGAGCAATGCTCCGCAACATGGTGATGTTGTCGTGCGACTTTTCCCTGTGACTTGGACTTATTCTCATCAACTCCTGAATTTGTTATTCATGGATTGGCCACAGCGTCTCCAGCTAAAGCACGATCATTTCAGTATCTCCTCCGAAGCCCAAGGAAAACCGAACAGGAGCAAGCTCTGCTCCATCTCCATCCCCCTCTCCGGCCGAGATAGCCCTCAGTGTACAGCGCAGCGCTGTGGAGCCAAACGCCCAGGACGCCACCACAATCCCACACCTCCCGCTCTGCCTCGTGTCACTCACAGGTAGGTAGGGAGTCCTTCCCCCCCTGTATTTCCACCCGTCCACATCTCACCCTCTCTCTCCACAGTGCCACTCATCCCCACGGCCCTCTCCACAGCGCTCACATCAGCCCTCCCCAATCGTCCTGGACGGTAGACTCCTCCACAGCTGCTTCTACTCAGTAGCGCCAGCTTCCCTCGGACGAATGGGTGTGAGTTGTGGGGCGGAATCCGTCCGAGTGCACTGGGTAGCAGCATCGTTCGGATCCCCGCGGATGTATACATGGTGACTTCGTCGATCCACTCGATTCGGTGGGGAGTTATTAATTCTTGCTTTGTGGAACGGTGGGTTCTGGGTCTGGTTGAGGTGCTTGTGGGAGGATACGATGTACGACACAGGCCGGGGTTCATGGTCCCCGTCTCTGGGCTTCGATCCTATAAGACCTGGGTGCATCCCCACATGTACAGTACTTTGCTTTGGTGCTCGTGGTCCCCACGGGCAGGCTGGGCAGTTGCTGCCGTTTTGTGACTTACGAAAGCGGTTGGGGGTGCGATTGTGGTTGTCGAGGCGAGAAATGCCTGGCCTGGGGCAGGAGGGTCCAGGGTTGATTCTGACGGAACAGCTGGACGGAGAGCTACAAAGCAGAGATAGAATTCTCTCGGCTTCTACAGGCCTGATCCCTCTAAACCAAATACACGATTGCAACCGCTAAATTATTATGTATCTCATACCTCGTCAAGGCCGTATGCTAGACCGGAGAAAACGCGATTGACCCGGATGGTGTAATTGAGGTCGTTGGGAGGAATTAACAGGCCTCTATAGAGGAACATTTCAGGTCGACGGGCCGCTGGCTTCGCCGTGCGCAAGTTGAGCGCTTTTACCTCCCCATCAACGGTCACCTTGCAGCTGGGCTTCGATCCTATCTTCCGGCGTGCTCTGTAGATAGCCCCGGCCTCCAGAATCTTGCTTGCTCCGTTTTGGTGGCACTCTGCACATATATATCCATTACCTTGTGTTTCAGAGCTGAGACCAGCACACTCGCTGTGGTACCACGTATAACAGGTCGAGCAGGAGACACCGTCTCCGTTGGGGTTGTGTCGTTCTCCACAGCATGGTATCGAGAAATCAAAACTCCGCACAAGGACTCTGTCCAATTGAGGAAGAGATGAATAATACCATCTATCCACTGCGGTAGATGCTCGGGCAAACGAGATTACGTCCTTGGGCGCCAAGGCCTTGAGTATTCTATCAAGAATCTCAGTGGGTAAGTTGATCCCCCATTTTTCCCTGTGGGTTATTTTCCAAAGGTTCGAAGATAGAACAGAAGTTAGAGCTCGAAATCCAGGTGAGGGTTGTATGGCCGAAGAGTTGATGACAAGGGGTATGGTCGGCGAGTACTGTACACCTGTACCACTTATTTCGAGGAAAGTAACGTAACCTAAAGAGATTAGAATAACATGGATAACAGGCTTTTTACACTGTTCCTTATCCAGATATCTCTGAGTATCTTGGACAGTGTTCTCAAGCGTGTCTGACGCACTGTATACAGTGACTAGAAACCCAAGAAGCCAGAAAATGTTTTCAGACGGAGCCGACCATTTTGGGATAGAGTAGGATCCGATTGGGATCTCTTCTATAATATCTTCTGGGATCCCTTCGGTGTCTGTGTCGGATAGTATTTCGAGATCTCATGCAGCGATACGCAGAAGGCCAATGGCAAGGGTCTTTCGAAAACGCGAGTCATGTGACCAGGACGGTAGGTCATCAAAATAGAACCGCCACAGAAAAACGAAGTCTGTAAACAAACGAAGTTGGAGCTCAGTCAAAGACGTGGGCTTTGCGATGTTTATCTTGAGCGTTAGTGATGTTGTTAGTCCCGTTTCAGTATACTGTGTGCGATGCTGCTTAGTGATATCTTCGTTATCAACAAGAATATCATCTAGCGTGCTGAGTGAGGGATCTTCAATTGCAGCAAGCTTTGCCTGTCGGATTAACCGGTAAAGTGCACCGCTGATGGCCGTCCATTGAGTTACCATTATGACTCCTAGGTCCTTATCGATGTTGTATACATAATCTAGGTTGATGTGGTGTGGTGAGGGAAAAGGTATTGATTCCCAGTCCTCTATGGCAGTCTCCGAGACTACCTTTCTAACGGTTCGCAGAGTAGCAGGTACGTCTGGAGAAGTTATACGCGCCGTTGATCTGTGAAAGACGCGGTACCACTTCCCTATACAGGATGTCAATTTCGTACACAGCCATTGTCCCATCCCTAGGCTTACCATCGACACGCACATTCCATAAGCCCCGAGTACCCATGTTTGCAATGACTACTCGTGGGCCATGGAACATTGAACGAATTTGGTTTCTTGATCGAGGATGATGGGAGCTAACTTGAGCATGCAACGGGAGGAGTGACGGAAGGGATGCGCTGGAGCCGGGGAGTCAACCATCCGCTCCGTTGTCGTCGATTGGTAGGTGGCTGGCTTACTGAAGGTCATGTGATACATTCCAGCGCTATTAATCGGACTTGCGCCAGTGACTTAGCCGCGGTCATATCTTGTCATTTAGAATGATAGGATCTACCTAAACTGATTACTGGGGATCTCTACTACTCCTGATATATGGTTCAGGTGAATTGCTAGGCTCCCAGTCAAGGTGGCTTCTAGAGCTGAAGTATACATGGAAGGCAAGTAGGTGGTCAAGTGACCTGTATATAATCTGCTTGCCATGGTGGTAGTGTGGATATCTGGGACGAATGAACGAAGAGATGATTATATTCCGTAGAAATCAATCAACGAGTATTGGTATCCACACATTGTGAATCTCACAGGCCATATATAATCAATGATGTTTCCTATCAAATCCGATGCTTTGATGTTCTTAGAGATGGATGCACCTTGAGACGTGCCGTGCTTTTGTCGCAGATGATCCAAGGATTCGGGTACCTCTGCGGACGCTCGTTGGTGGAGAAACTTCGGGAAAGAGTCCCTCATTCCCCAATCCCAGCAGTGGCCTCGCCGGAACCTTCAGTGCCTGTCACGATTAAGAGATCAATATATAGGACACTCATCTTCTCACTTTCAGGAACGCAGCTGTCTATACCTGTACAACAGCAAAAATAGGCAAGTATAACTACCGGTCAAGGGTCGGTCAGGTTGGTCAAATTGCTTAGTAGCTGCATCGGTTATCTTTATCGATCGACAAGTTAGATTGGCCGTAAGCGCTACTAACCCCTCCCCCACTAAGCAGCTCGAAATAAAAGCTTCGTCTCGTTGGAGTGTGTTCCAACTATCTTCAAACCCCTTTGTTCATCTGCAGGTACTTCTGTACTACAACAACATGGCGAACGGAGTCCCAACAAATGGGCAGGAACAGCCCTACAAGCCGTACGATCAGATCCTTCTGTTCGGCGATTCTATCACCGAGTTTGGTAGCAACCAGGATATGGGCTTCGGGTTTCACGCCGCATTGCAGCATGGTGAGTGAAGCCTCTGGACACCCTCGACTTTAGACTATACTAACTCGTCTGTAGCATACAGTCGCCGCTTCGACGTGGTGAATCGTGGCTTAGCGTGAGAACCCATCTGTCGCACTACATCCAGTAACCAAACTGACCCTTCACTGCTCGGACTGTAGCGGTTATGCCACCTGCCACGCCATCAAAGTGGTATCGCAATGCATCCCTCCCCCGGAGAGGGCCAATGTGCGACTCATGGTAAGCCACGATCGAAGCCTCCTTCACGAGACAAAACACCTGGATAACACTGGTTATAGACCCTCTGGTTCGGCGCCAATGATTCCTGTCTCCCCGCTTTCAATCAGTACGTCCCCTTGGAGCAGTACAAGGAAAACCTCAAACGTATCATTCAACACCCCGCCACGGTCGCGCAGAACCCGCGCATCCTCATCATTACCCCGCCTCCAATCAACGAATACCAGCTGGAGTTCTTCGACAAGGGCAAGGGGAACCCGCATCCGACGCGCACGAACCAGAACGCCAAAGTCTACGCTGAGGGCGCCCGCGACCTCGCAGCTTCCCTGGGGATCCCGGTCGTGGACGTCTGGACCGCATTCATGACGGCGGTGGGATGGAAAGAGGGTCAGCCCTTGGTGGGGTCGAGGGAGTTGCCGAACGACGAGAAGTTCGCGCGCTTGTTCACCGATGGACTACATTTGACCGGGGAAGGGTACCGCATCGTGTACGATGCATTGATGAAGGCGATTGAGGCAAACTGGCCGGATATGCTGCCGCAGAATATTCCGATGATTTTCCCTCCCTGGCCTCAGGCTCCGCGGTGAAAGATTGGTGTCGGTTGTGGGGTGCGGGATTGTATATACATAGATCAGAACGTAGGTTAACCAAGAGGTCTCCATCTGCTCTGGGTTGCCGTTGCTAAGAACGTAGAGGTCATAAGACTTGATCACTGTGGTTCAATACATGTATCTGTTAGATGAAAGAACGATGTCAATGATGCACCACGCTACTCTGTGGCAACAAGAATAAATTGAAGGTCAAAGAAATGGCGATGATGAAAGCGGTCTAGATTCAGCCGAGGGCGGTTGCCGCCGGCGGGTCAAGGTTCCAAGTTGGTTTCCAGGCTGTCGAATTGGGATCCCCTCATGATTTCCAATCCAACGGCACTTCACAACCTCCTCACTCTTCCCAGCCTTCCTTCGCTTTTTATCTCACTATACTCCGGCTTACCAAACTCTCTCACTTACTTGCCATAAATCTCGCATTGATCCTTTTTCTCAGCTGTTTCCTATCGGCCCGCTCACGCCTTCGTTTCCTTGATCCGTCGGAAAGAAAGAACCCACTGCCCATCCTCGCCTCTTATCAGACCCCCTCAGGCCAGGAATATCTCGCGTTCTCTTCTGCTGCTCTAGGAATTGCCGATAGAGATTCGTGTTCATAAACACTCCTTGCTCGATCTTCAGACCCTCAACCGGTGAAGTGGTCGTCCTCTACGCTGCATCGCTCAACCTCTGCTCCGACGTCTCATCCGTTCCATCCGCATATCCTCCCGCCTTTTCCTCTCTACTCTTATCGTCCATCGTCCGGCACGCTTTATCAGCCACTTCCTTCGTATATCGGCCATCAAGTGTTTGTATATGCCTCGAGATCACTTCACGAATATTCGCATTTAGCAGACCGGGTGGACGGCCGTAGGGCCGTCTCACATTGTACGAGGGAGGAGGAGTTTCGGAGGAACAGCGGACCGTCGGAATCAGCAAGCGGGCCTGACCAGATCACTGAGGACTGGGCGATAACGGCACTTCATACGAAGACTGTGTTGTATGTGTGATAGTTCTGGTGAAATCGTGCCGTCAACATTCTGTTAGAGGTTCTTGGGTCTGCCGCCCATCACTCCGCTTTGCACAGTTTGCACACTTGGACATGGATGCACAGTTCCCTTTTGCCTCACGCGACGACATCTGGCGCGTCTTCGAAGAGATTAAGGAGCTTCACGCCGCCCAGTTCGAACAGGCAGAGCGGATAGCACGACTCGAGCGGCGCAGAGACGAGGATGCAAGGCTGAGAAGCGTGTGGGGTCCTTTATCGCCATTTCCCACCTCTGTTGGGGGCACAATCCCGGCGGGTATGTGTATTCTTTGTGCCTCATCTCCGGAGTTTGGCTAAGATGTCATCTGTCTACAGAGTCGGTCTTCCATACTCCCTCCGACGCGTTCAGGGGTTTCGATCAGGGAAATCATCACACGGTGGTCAATACCATGGGTCTGGAAACCGAGGAGGAGCCTAGGCGTGGGACCTCACGGGCCAACAGCGTTCGGTTCGACGAGAGTGCCATCCACGGTTACTATGGACAAGCCAGTCGATCAACTAGCGAGCTGCCGTTGAGGACGGGAAGTGGCCTAGGCAGCCACCCTATGACTGAGCGGTCGCTATCGCATCGGTCAGACGGACGACAAAGCTCCTCGGGGCACTCGCACCATTCCGCTCGAACGAATAGTCTAGGCTTAGAGACAACCAGCAGAATGATGGCTTCTTCCGCTGTAGGATCGCCACTCATTCCCTCGCCCGGCTTTTTCCTTCTTGGGCCAGTGCCGTGCATCATCCGGTGCTGGTTGACAACCAACTTTTCCAACGAGTCCCTATTGTATGCGGCCATCTGCACTGGCTCCTATACCTCTTCACTGGGGTATCCGATGGTCCGGAGATTCGGCTGGGAAGATCAGCTGGTCCAGGACGGCGAGGTGCAGTACATCAAGCTCCCTATGTACCTTCCCGAAGCTAGCGTGCACCAATCCTCCTCGCGGTCCAGTAGTCCTGCCCCCCAGGTTCCTACTTTGACTGTTCGGTTCCTGGTTCGTGAGATCGACCCCAGGGACTCGTCCGTGCAGATTGTCCTTGGCAGTGATGTGCTCCGCTCCCACAACGCCGACGTGCTGTTCTCTCAAGATAAAATCATTATGGTCGATGACGAGCGTAATAAGATATCCATCCCTCTTGTCCGGCCTGAGGACGACGCTGTCTTCAAGTCACTATGCACGGCTTCGGATGTTTCACGCGCGGGCTGGAAGGAGCGACAGCCCGTCCCAGTCGATGCCCCGGCGGACATGCATGGCCATGCGCCTGTGGGTGTCATCGGACGCCCTATCAGTACATCTCGACGAGCGGCATCTACCAGCGACTCAACGCAAGATTTCACGGAAGACTCCGAGGATAGTCGAAAGGCGCATTTCTCGGAGACACCGGAAACCTTGGCAGATCCGGTGCCAGTTCAAGGACAGGAGAAGCCTGCCGGGATCGTGTCGAGTGGGCCGGCTCGTGCGGAAGCGTCCGGAGTTTGGGGCTCGTGGAAACGCGATGCCAAAAGCGATCCGAATGCCTCCGCGGCGACGGGCAAGCCTCCTCGGGGCCGTACTATGAAAGTACTACGGCCTAGCAAGGCGCCATCTCGAACGGTGACGATGACCACCGGCCCGGGCAGCAGCTCGCCGGCCGATGTTGTGCAGCCGACCTCGACCCGCACCTCGCCCGACGGTGGCGTGCGCACTGCTAAACCGTGGGCATCTAACCCGGTTGGCGGGGCGTCGGCGTTTGGATGGCTTAATACGGCGTCTCAACCGTCCGCTGCGCCTCGCAGCATGACGACCGGCACTGGCTCTAAATGAAATAGATTAGGGCGCAGGGTCCACGGCGTAAATTTCCCCTCCGATCACTTTTGTGTCTGTCTGCAGTAGTAATGACCATAAACGAAGCAATGTAAAGGCCTTGACCCTCGCATACTCTCATCCTCATATACCTAGTGCAGTACTTAGTAGTATAATCTGTCTACGAAGTACCTCAAACCCAGTCTCTGCTTCCATCCAACAAGTACTCCCCTTCCCCCCTTCACCCCCTTAATCCCCTTTAATAAGAAACATTAAATCCTCGCCAAAGCCTCCAACGCCCCCCTCGTCTCCTCCTTCATCTCCTTCACCACCCCACTCACCCCCTTGAAGGCCGCATGCCCCGCATCCCCCAGCATCTCAAACACCACCCCCTCGCTCGTCGTCACCGTCGCCCCCGCATCCCGCAACCGCTGCAGTGCCACCCCGCGCTCCTCCGCGTGCGCGCTGCTCACCCCGTCCACGATCACGTACACCCGGTGCCCGCGGCTCAGCAGGTCCAGCGTCGTCTGCGTCACGCAGATGTGCGTCTCGATCCCCACCAGGATCGCGTCCAGGGGCGTCTCGCCCTGCTGCGGGTTGGGCAGCAGGCTGGCCAGCTCCGGCGTGATCATCGAGAAGAGCGTTTTGTCGATGTTGGCAACGACTCTGGTTTGGGAGGAGGTGGAGGAGGAGGGTGGGGGCTGCAGGTACGGGCTCAGTTCGGAGACGGTGTCGCCGAGGCGGGCGCGGTTTTGGGTCGTCACGTAGATTGGCACGTTTAGCGGTTGCGTCGCGCGCAGGAGTTTGGTGGTTGTTGTTATTCTTGGGATTGTTAGTTGGTGGTTCCGGGGGGACTAGGGATGGGATTGGGGATGGGGACGTACACTTTGGGGAATTCGTGGATTACATTGCGGAATTTTTCTTGGATGTCGCAGATGCTTTGTTTGTTGTTAGTTGAAGTGGTTTAGGGGGGTGGTGCAAGGCTTTGAGGGGTGGGTTGGTGAGACGGACAAGAGGGCGGGGTTGCCTGGTGATTTCAGGGTAGTGGGTTAGTCTGATGTTTTCGACGGTAGTGGAAATGGGAGGGGCGAGGATAGGACATACGGATGCGCGTGGCTCGAGTGAGAGTGGCCATATTTGCAGAGTATAAGCTTCTTACACGTTGCTGAGAATGTGGTCAGTGGTAGGGAGGGACGTATTGGGGAGAATTTATAGGAAAGATCAGCAGGAGATTGCAGTGCAGTTGCAGTTGGAGTGCAGAGCGGGGAAACGGACGGGTCCGGTGCGGGGAAGGGCCGAGGTATTGGTTGCCTTGTTTATCGGGCAGACATATCAAACTGCCGGAACATACTGTACTATAACTACACACATCATAACAACCGTGTACCACTCTATCTACAGAGCAATCTCTCGCACCTTCGCCCGCTCACTAAACCAACTGTCGTCCCCCTTCGACGCGGCCTGCCGGATGGCATACAGCTCATCCAGGAAAGCAGGAACAAAGCTTCCCGGCCCCCGCACATCCTCCCTCGCCGCCGCGTTCTCGGCAGCGATCTCGTACATCAGAAGACCCGCCAGCACGGCAAGAAGCTTGTCTTTCGGATTGGCGGCCAGAAAGCATCCAGCAACCGTACCAACAGCACAGCCGGTCTGTTCCTTCATTAGCATTTGCAGATCAAAAAAAGGGGTCGGTGCACTTACTCCCGTGACCTGGCCGAGAAGTTCGTGGCCGTTTTCCACGGCAATGACGCGCTCGCCGTCACTCAGGTAATCAACCGCACCGGTCAGGAGAACGAGGTTCCCTAGATAATTTGTGAGAATGTATATTGATGGAAGCGTGTAGTCAAACTTACGCTCTCGCTTAGCAAGCTCAAGAGCCAACCGAGCCTTTCCTTGGTCGTCAAGGCTGCTGGGGCCGCTGTCGACACCCCTCTGTGTCACGCCACTGCTCCCGAATACCTGTCGAATTTCACCCTCGTTGCCCTTGATGAGGTCGAAGTATCCCCCCGCCATGAGCTGCTTGACTGCGCCCCGACGGATGCCGGTCGCAGCCGCGCCGACTGGATCGTATACCACCGGGTTTCCGCGCTCGTTGTATGCTTGCAGAGCCTTGAGGTAATTGGGGATGCTCTCGCTGGTGAGAGTGCCCATGTTGATCACCAGGGCACCGCCGAATTGACGGAGGTCGACGGCTTCGTCGCCGTATGGAGACATGATTGGGGAAGCGCCCCTACACGTTATCAGCCCTGCTGTCAAGTATGTGAGCACCGCGAGGGGGTATCGTACATGGAAAGAGCGACGTTGGCAACAAAGTTGGCCACGACATAGTTGATCATATTGTGTACCAGCGGATGAGCCTTTACCATATCTTGAATCGCCTGGGGAACCTGCTTGAGGAGTGCGGTGGTGTCCCGCGCCGAAGCCGACGGCTCACTGTGTACGAATGCAGGGGGGCTGGCAACGAGCTTGACGAACTCGGCCGCGGCAGCCTTGGGATCATCAGCAGCCATGATACCACTGACGATGGCAACGCCATCCAACCCCTTGTTCGGCGCACGGGACTGGTACAAGACGCGTTGCACATTCGACTGCTTGATTCCACCGATGGAGACGGTTCCCACCGTCCGGCCCGTCTCGGAGATGGCTTCCAGAATGGCTTGGGTACCGGCTGTACCAAGGATTAATTTTGTGTTCGTTTTCCTGACCTGGTCAATCGATGTCTTGTCCTGGTGAGTCAACAGATGGCACCTACGTTTGCGTGGCGAACATGGTGCCAATGCCGAGATAGTCGGCGCCCGCCGCAATCGCCTTCTGGGCCTCCTCAACAGACCCCGCGCTGATACCGATGATGGCATTCTCTGGGAGAAGCTTTTTCGCTACCTCAATCGCTGCAAGCAGTTAGCGCGGTAGATTGCGAGACGGGGTTGGGAGATGCATACCCATGTCATCTTGGCCAAGGTGGACACCCTCCGCTCCCACGGCCAGAGCAACATCAACACGGTCGTTGATCAGCAATGGCACTCCATAGGCCTTGGTGATCTGGTGTAGCTTCCTGGCTGTCTCGATTTGAGCTCCCGTGTCGGCCTTCTTCTCGCGGTACTGCACAATAGTCACGCCTGAGATAAGTGGTCAGTGGAGATGTCTCTGGCAGACAGAGAAAGCACGTACCTCCTTTGAGGGCCTCTTCGACGACAGTACAGAGATCCCGACCCTTGAGAATGGCAGGGGTCGAGTCGGTGACCAAGTATACAGATAGATCGAGAGCCATATTTACAGACTATCAGAACGTCCTGGGGCTAGAAGATGCGGTTAATTTAGTTTTTCGTGACATTGCGACGAGGGGCACACGTGGGGTGCGGGAGCGAGCCACCAACAATGCAAGTTAATGCATCGTCAAATTAGTCGCACCCGTGCGGGGAAGGGAAATCAAGAGTAAAACATACCCACTGAGAGACTTACACAATTCAAGATCCTTGGTGAAAGGACTCGGACGGTTGGAAGAGGCTTTTCGCAATGTCGGGCAGTGTGTGGGGACGCCCGAAAGTTAGTCATTCTATACGCACGACCGACGACATCCTTGTGGTCGATGGCGATTTGCTGCTGCAAGCTGTTGCACCAATTGTTTTGATATGCATTTTGATGATTTTATTGGTGTTTGAGACAAAAGACACAAAGAATGCGACGCCTTGATATGTTGGAAATATCCAGAGAATGGCCTACTGCATAGCACACTGCTACGAATGCCTCGACTATATATTCCACCGAGTCCGAGCGAGTGCCATGCAACATTGAGCCGACCTAGTCTCTGAGGTTCCTTGCTTGTCCAAGGCATCCCGAAGACATCCTACCGTGATGCACCTCATATTTCACAGTGCCTGACTTGTGTGTGTGACAAGACAGGTGGCGGTGAGTCCTCAAGCATCAGAACTACTTCATTAGGAAGATTGGCCGGGATATCTTGTCTAGGATAAGCAGGCCAGTCTGGTTGTGTAACTACGGGGTGATGGTAGCCTAGCAGGCAGGACATAATGTCGTAAGTGCTTAACATCTCCACGTAGCATCGAATTGAGACAAATGCATGGCATCCATAGCATGCTTGAGCAGGGTTCATGGGAGCAGGCAGCGACACGATGATCTCGGGGATAAGGTCGGACACAACCACGAGCTATAGCCTTCCAGATATTTTTGCAAGCAAGATTTACCTCGGAGCAGAAGTAGAAGAATTACAAGAGAGCAAACAATAGTTTAGCGACTGGATTGAGTGAATGGGAGCACGTGTAACCGGAAGGCCGGCATCCTCACTCAATTCGGGGGGGGGGGGGGTCGGGAGGGAGGCAGCTGACTCAGCGTCTCCATTTTTCATCTCAAATTTTCACTTGGTGGCCATATTGTTCAGGCCGCCGGGAGTCGAAGTGCCTGCCTTTTCCATTCCTTCCCAATCAGTGCTTGGCACCAAACCGGGTCGGACTTTTTTTGTTTGGGGACCTTTTCTACCTTTTCTACCCTCGCTCGCATCTCCTTCTCTTCCCCTTCTCTTTCTCTCTTCTCTTTCTCACCCACTCTCTATCACATCACTTCTCGGTTTTTGTCAACCACTCCCCCCCTTTTTTATTCCAACTCCATCGGCGTTATACGCTGCTGTCCCATTAAATCACCCTTCAGGCGACCTTTCTGCCTGCTGGTTTGCACCTCAAGTTTTGTTCACGCACAAGCCACTCTGGTTAGTCTCACTGCCACCATCCTTTCTGTCATTCCTCCACCAGGATTGCGAATCTGACCGTGTCGATTTTCCCTCCCCCCACAGAAGAACCACCCGTTGGTTTCTCTCTTTCCTGCCAGAGAAAGCCACTGAAAATAGAGTCGGTCGAGAACTTGTCTATGTATTCGTCCTGCGTCAGAGATTTCGATCACCACCTGCCGCTCAAGCTGCAATCGTTTCGCTTCACGTCGAAACCTTGTAGTAGACATTCGAAGTCCTGTGGCTGAAAGCTTTTGGGCTGCCCTCCATCGTTCTCGTTCTAAACGATCGCAAAACAAAAAACCGCCACCATTCCTTCTCAACTAGGAATCTACGCATGTCTTGTTCTTACAAGATATCCCTGGTCCAGAATCCTCCCCGCTTAATATAACCACAACAATCAGTCTTCCTGAAGATTTTTATCAACCTCAACCGTCATCATGGCTACTGTCAACATTCGTCGGGATGTCTCCGATCCCTTCTACCGCTACAAGATGGAGCGCCTGCAGTCGAAGATCGAGGGCAAGGGCAACGGTATTAAGACCGTCGTTGTCAACTTGAACTCGGTCGCTCAGTCTCTGGCTCGGCCTCCCGCTTATGTCATCAAGTACTTCGGCTTCGAGCTCGGTGCTCAGGCCAACGCTAAGCCGACCGATGACCGCTGGATCATCAACGGTGCTCATGATGCCCCCAAGCTTCAGGACTATCTCGATGGCTTCATCTCCAAGTTCGTGCTCTGCAAGAAGTGCAAGAATCCGGAAACGGATGTCAACATCAAGGACGAGAAGATCTTCTTGGATTGCAAGGCCTGTGGTCAACGTTCCGAGGTCGACTCTCGTCTCAAGCTGAGCACCTTCATCCTGCGTGATGTCGCCTCGGGCAAGGGAGGAAAGAAGGACAAGGCTTCGAAGAAGGATCGCCGCGATCGTAAGAAGGAGAAGAACAAGGCAGCCAACGGTGACAGCAATGGCAGCCCCGGAGACAGCAACTCCGACAACGGCGATGAGGAGAGCCCCGATGCCGCCCTGGAAGCAGGAAGCGACGACGAGCTCACCCGCCGCATCAAGGCTCAGGCCCAGAAAATTGAGGCCGAGGATGAAATTGATGACGATGACTGGGCGGTCGACGTCTCCGAGGAGGCCGTCAAGGCTCGTGCCAAGGAGCTCCCCGATGATCTCAAGCGCACCCTCGTTCTGGAGGATGCCGACGAGGACGGTGCCGATGGCCCGTCCGCCTACGATGAGCTTGGTAGCTGGATCATCGACGCTGCTGCTCAGAAGGGTGGCGTCACTGGTGTCAGCGATGTCGACATCTACATGAAGGCCAAGGAGTATGGCATCGAGAGCAAGCACAAGACTCTGGCCGTTCTCGCCCAAACCATCTTCGACGACAAGATCGTTAAGCAAATCCCCGCCCGTGCCGGTCTTCTCAAGAAGATGATCACTTCCGAGCGTCACGAGAAGGCTTTCCTGGGTGGAACCGAGCGCTTCGTCGGCAAGGACCGCCCCGAGCTGATCGGGCAGATTCCTGCCATTCTGCTCAAGTACTACGAGCACGACCTCATCTCTGAGGACACCCTCAAGGCTTGGGGTTCCAAGGCTAGCAAGAAGTACGTCGACATCTCGACCAGCAAGAAGGTCCGCAAGGCCGCTGAGCCCTTCCTCGAGTGGCTTGAAAACGCCGAGAGCGAGGAGGAGAGCGAGGAAGACGATGAGTAGACTGTCGCCAGCTTGCTGGTTTCTAGTTCTAGATGATCGCTTTCGGGAATTCTTCCACCTGTTGTCTCTTCGCTTATTGTTTTTCTCACCGACTCCACTCATTTGATGCGTATACTCGGTTTTGACCCGCTGTTGCTTGAGTTTGTTGTCTGAGAGGTTTACACAAGACGAGAACATATTAGTTAGCTACCAATAAACTTCTCTGCTCTATACATTGATCTCCACCCTAAGAATAGTAGATCCAGCTTAGGCAATATACTGTACCACTTTGTGTTGATCAACTTCCCGACTATTGTTCATGTTCAAAAAGTCAACTCTGCGAACCTCAACCCCGTCCCCGGGACGGTCCACACCTTCAAAGGCTCCTCCACCACCTCACAAATCAAAGGACTACTCCTCGTCTTTTGTTGGATGTTCGACCCAACTCCGCGAGCCCGGTGCTCCTGAAAGAGAAACCAGGTCAAGTCCGCATTCCACGTCTCCAGCGCCTCCAGCGCCTCTTCAATCGACCCTAGATCAGCAGATCGTTCATCAGTTTGATCCGCACGACCACCGTCAGCACTCAATTTCTTCCTCGCCGACCACAGCTCATACACCTCCGTCCCACCACCCGCAAACAAAACCACCCATTCCACCACAAACCGGGCGATCGTATCCCCGACCCTCAGCGGAAGCCGCACGTGCGTGAGCAGGGTAATGAAGAGCGGGAGCAAACCGCGCCAGATGGCGTGGTGGGGCGTGAAGGCGCGGGCGCTGGTCGCGTGGAGGGAGAGGGATTGCGTGAGATTGAGGTGGAGGTTTGGAGTGGATGTGGCTGTGGCTGTGGCTGTGGCTGTACGCGGGTGATTCTCTGAGGGAGTGATGTCGAGAAGCTTTTTGTCGGGCTGGTGGGGTGGATGCTGCCGTGACCGCCGCTCGAGGGCCTTCTCGGCGTCGTGCCGGACTTTCGTCCACGTTTGGCGGTACAAGCGCTCCCAGCGGGGGAATTCGGATTCCACGCGCGAGGCCAGGAAGTCCCCGGCTGCGTGGCAGAGAGTGCGGATGGCGTGGCAGGCGGTTGTGGTGACGTAGGTTTCTTCCTCGAGGGATTCTGGGTTATTTGGGGCTGCGGTGGTGGTGGTGAGGGTTAGGGGTGTGGGTGCGGATTGGGGGTTGGTGCTGGTGCTGATGCTGCTAAATGGGGAGGACGGGAAGCTGATTCTGGCGGCGAGGGTGGGCCAGAGGTCGTTGATTAGCGGCAGAAAACTATTTTCGTTGGGGGAGAGGGTTGGAAAGACGTCGGTGAGGATGGTGAGGAGGGAGCGTCGGAGGTACGGGGACGGGGAGGTGAGGTAGGACGGGATCGAGCGGACGATGTGCAGGAGCAGGGTGTGCGGTTTGCTCAGCGGCTTTTCGCCGTCCTCTGGTTCCTTGGGGGCTGGGAGGGGCTCGTCGGATTCGTCTTTCTCGAGAAGCTCGGCGAGGGTGTTGTCGAATTCGGTGGGGGGTGGTTGTTGTTCGTCTTGGGGTGAGCTCTTCCACGGCTTGCGAGGGTGCGAGATGGGCTCGTCCGGGAGCTCGTGTGTGAGTTTGGCGCGTTTGGCTCGTCGTTGGGCAAAGTCTTGCGCGAGGGTGGAGATCTGCAGGCTTTCGTATCTCTTCTTGCGGTGGTCGGGCTGGGTGGTGCTGCCTTTGCCGTCACCGATTGCCAGCACGGCGGGCGTTTTGGTTCCTTCGTCGACAATGGCCGCTAGTGTTCGGAACATCAGCTCGACGAGCTTGGGGTAGCCGTGGTACATGTCTAGGATACCGAAGATGGAATCCACCAGATCGTCCAGGTAGGGGATCAGCCGGGCACCGCAGAGCTTCACCATCATCAGCAGCACCTGCGGCGGATAGGGAGATACATCGAAGGTATTCAGCTTCAACGCCACTGAGTTCACAAGGTAATCAACGTTCTCTATCACCATAGTGCTGGCGTCTTGGTAGTTGCATGCGTTCGTGAGCAGGTTCAAGCACGTCATCGCATGTTTCTGAAGCCTTGGGTTGCTCGAAGCCAGTAATTGGAGGACTGGGTACAACGCATCCATCAATTCCGGCCGGAAGGCTTCGCCGAGTTGTTGGGCCTGCAGAGCGACGGCCTCTAGCGCAAGAGCCTGTACCCGCCAGTCGCGGGAGTCATTGGCCAGTGGCTCGTTCAAGACTGGCAGTGCGATGTAGTACAGTTCCTCGATCATTCCAGTCCTGGTTGCGGGTTGGCCTGAGGGTTCAAGTTCGTCGAGCGATATAAAGTCATCGAAGGCTGATGTAGCCTGCAGGTTACTCGTGAGAAAGTTCAATGAAAGCCACAGTGGTGAAATGAGGGCGTCGCCGTGCTCTTGGTAAAGTCGGTTGATGATGAGACGTGTGATTCTGTTGCCGGATTCTGAGGAACTCAGTCTGACAATCATGGTTCGAAGATCGCGCAGTGTGTCGCGCTGACTTTTATGTTCCATAAGCACGGGTTCGAAACTGACGGCGCTGCGTCCATGTTGCAAGACTTCCATGTTCTGAGATTGTATGGCAGAGGTGCTGAGAGGCTGCAGTGCATTCACTGTGTGGCTCACGGCTGCAGCAACGCTGTCACATATACCTGACGCCAGGTTGCTTTCCAGGATATCGGAACTCGACTGTACGTATGACAACACCTGAAAGGCGGTCGATATCTGTCTAACTGCCCATTGTTTCGCTGTTTCGTCATTGCCTTGCATAGTCCGTGGGAACGAAGTGATCCAGGTGTGCAGAGAATCCTTGAGGTTATCTACCACGACTGGGTAAGTTGTAGCGTGGTGGGTAAGAGCTGTGAATGCTTCATTCGGTATATTCTTATCGTCCTCGTCGGACAATACGATCAAGGTCTCGACAATGATCGGTAGCGACTCTTGCAGCGTGACTTGACACTCTTCTACCACCATCAAGCATAGTTCACGAAGGGCCGTTTGTACCTCGGGCCGTTCGTGCCGTCTGACCTGTATAATATTGGCAAGCGCGAGCTTGATCTGCGTGGCTGTAGCTTTCAACCAGGAGGCATCAAGCACAAGCGGATCGTCCGGCTTCTGTGATTTATCTTGTTTTTCGTTCACCTTCGAAGCTCGATCGTTGAGAACTGTTCTTAGCATGTAGGTGAGGATTTGAAGGCAAAGACTCAGAAGCTTGTAAGAGCGCCGCGTCTGCGTCGTGGGTCTTATCACTTTTGTTAGTGTTGAGACTGTCCGGGGCATGATACTAGCCAGGACTACCCTATCAGTGATGCGATGATAAAGAGCTATGAGCGATTCGGCCGCCGAAATGCACAGTTGATCGGATTGGTCGTCGCTAATTCCTTCTAGCAGGACATAGACCGTTTGATCGACCACAGTGGCGGTACCAACTTCGTGGTAGATGGTGGCGGTGGCCTCGGAACCTTCAAGGACATTAAAGATAGCTGAAAGGCAGTTGAAGCCGGTAATCGACAATTCTGCTGGCCGAGCCTGTGCGAGCTGGCTACCGTTGGCTTTGCTCGGCGTACCTCCCACGATCAAGGTCAGAAGTATCATGAGCTGTTTGCCCATTTGAGGAGATAGGCGTCTCCGCCATCCTTTCTCGATCAGGATTTGCAGACATTTGACAGCAAGCTCCAGAGAGTTGACTGGTGTTCTTTGCGTCTCGTTGAAGACGTGACAAAGAGGGAAGAATGCATACTCCGCGAGCTTTTCGTCCAGGGCATCTTTATTGCCGAGTTCGTTCAGGACAGCGTACACGGATTTCAAAGCCTTGAAGACCTCACTAGGAGATGCTTGACTCCCACGAAAGCGCAAGCCGACAGCACTCAGTTCCACACATTGTGGTTTGAGCTTTGTTATGCATTAGTCTGGTTCGACATGATACTGAACTGGAGTCATACCTTGGTGAAAGCTTCCTGCCGGGAGATCTCCATCGAATTAGACTGATTTAGGTGTAACGAAAGCAATCATGAAATCTGAGATACTTCAGCCATTGAATGATTCAGTCAGATCATCAAGTAGCCTCCAAGTTAGCTACAACGAAACATCAGGTTGTGCATTGCAGCGATCAAAAGGAAGCAGTATCGATAATCCATCCTCTCCGCCCTCGCGATCACTTTCTGCCCGACTCCCGGGGCGGTAAAGGTGGAGAGGTTTGCATTGTTTGATCAGCAAATGCGTCACTCTGGCTCAACTCAGGTCTTGTATTGAGCTGTAGCCAGACTCGACTCAAGAGTGGGCATTCTCATCAAGCACTGGTGCTAAGGTAAATGATAAGTTACCCCGGATGTGATTTTCATCGTCCCGTCAAGAACCCAAGCCAAAAACACAACTTGCCCTAGTTGTGAGTCTCATCACGTGACACTAATTAATTTCGCGTCACGTCACGTCGCGTTAACTTCAAGGCTCCCGTTGAAGCTTAAAGCAATTTGGAAGGCAGCAATGTCTACCTAGTGTGCCTGGCCCATGGAAACTGCAGACCCTCAATGCATATAAACTGACAAGCTGGCAAAATTTATTATCAGGTGAAAGGCGGTAGCAGCGAACGTCTATGCTCTCTTCATACCGTTCCGCGTGTGTTACGCCGTCTTTTCCATTCCTTCCCAGGAATCCCGCCTTTGGCACCACAGCTCCGAGGACTCTGCATTCGACCCTACACTTTGCGCGCCCCCATTCCTCGCTTGCCTGGACAAGGCCGCCCTTATCCAGTCTCTGCCTGCGATCAGATCATCGTCTCCGTCCCTCACTATTTCTCGCAATGGCGGATTCTAAGGGTCGGAAACAAGCAACTCTGGGGTACGTCAAGGATTCCCAGCTAACTCTCGGGTGCGTCTTTTATGACTGGCGCCTAGGTATTCTCGATTCTTGGTCCCGAGAGTTTCTCAACTAATACATGATGACAATCTTTAGGAGGTTCTTCGGATCAAATTCCGACGCCCCACGAGATGCGCCTAAGAAGCAGACCACGCTCGCGTTTTCGGGCAAAAAGAGCAAGACCCAAGAGGCTCCAGAGTCAGCTGCTGTCAACGGCGCCAAGGTCAAGGACGAACCCATGGACGAAGCCAAGTCTTCTAGCGCCGAGCCAGAAACAGTGAAAACAAACGACAAGGAGGATACCACCACGTCCAAGAGAGAGAACAGCAGCGAGGATGAAGACAGCGATGTTCAGCCTGCACCCAAGCGCCGTCGGAGAAACTCGCAAGCGAATGGATCGACTGCCTCTCCTAAGGTCTCTCCAAAGAAAAAATCACCGTCGCCGAAGAGTCCGAAGAAGCAAACCAAATCCAACCAACCCTCCGAATCTCTGAAAATCGAGAAAGCTTCGGGGGAAAAGACACCCGAGAAGGAGGAAGAAGTATCAGAGGAGGAGGAAGCACAATCGCTTAGTGAGGATGAGGAAGACGAAAAGCCGGAGGTGAAAAAGAAGAAAATCGAGAAGGTACAGGCCACGCTCAAAGCAAGCGGAAGTGAGCCTTATCCGGACTGGAAAGCTGGCGACCCGGTGCCATATGCGGCACTGTGTACGACCTTCTCGTTGATAGAAATGACTACCAAAAGATTGGTCATCCTCGCTCACTGCTCTCTGTTTCTTCGGCAGGTACTGCGCTTGACCCCGCAGGACCTTCTTCCCACTGTCCAGCTTATGATCAACAAACTGGCTGCGGACTATGCAGGCATTGAGCTTGGAATTGGCGAATCTCTAATCATGAAGGCGATTGGTGAGAGCACAGGACGGAGCTTGGCCGTCATCAAGGCTGATCAGCATGAGATCGGCGACCTCGGGCTAGTCGCCGCCAAGAGTCGCTCCAATCAGCCGACCATGTTCAAGCCGAAGCCCTTGACAGTCAGAGGCGTGCATGAAGGTCTTCTTACCATTGCGAAGGTGCAGGGACACGGTTCTCAAGATAAGAAGATCTCCGGCATCAAGAAGCTTCTTTCTGCGGCCGATACCGCCGCTGCAGGCAAAGGCAGCAAGGGCATCGATATTACCAAGGACAAGGGCGGACCGAGTGAAGCCAAGTATATCATCCGTTTCCTAGAAGGAAAGCTTAGACTTGGTTTAGCGGAGAAGACGGTCCTTGTTGCCCTCGCTCAAGCCGTGGTCACGCACGAGGCTGAGTTCCGAGGAGAGAAGGCACCCTCTACCGAAAAGTTGGCCCAGGGTGAGGCTATCTTGAAGACTGTGTACAGCGAGCTGCCCGCTTACGAGATTATTATTCCGTTGATGCTCGAGCATGGTCTCTCGAATCTGCACGAGCACTGCAAGCTGCAGCCGGGCATCCCCATCAAGCCCATGCTTGCCAAGCCAACCAAGTCCATTACGGAGGTTCTTGATCGATTCGAAGGAAAAGACTTTACCTGTGAGTATAAGTATGATGGCGAGAGAGCTCAGATCCACTATGTTGCACCCGATTCAGTCCACCAGTACCCCGGAGCAAAGGCGACATTGCAGAGTGGTAGCCAGGGTCTTAGCTCCATCTTCTCACGCAACTCGGAAGATCTGTCCAAGAAGTATCCCGATGTGCTTGCGAAACTCAACACATGGGTGAAGGGCGGTGTCACTAGCTTTGTCCTCGATTGTGAGACCGTGGCCTGGGATACAGTGAACAAGAAGGTTTTGCCATTCCAGCAACTTATGACTCGCAAGAGGAAGGATGTCAAAGCGGAGGATGTTAAAGTCAAAGTCTGCGTGTTCGCCTTTGACCTGCTTTTCTTGAACGGAGAGGTATGACGTCTGTCCTTTGATCGTTCAAGCCCGAGACACTGACGCGAAGCAATAGCCTACGGTGAAAAAGAGCCTGCGAGAGCGTCGCGAGCTTCTTCACGAGTCATTCGAGACTGTTGAAGGCGAGTTCCAGTTTGCGCAGTATGGTAATACCAACGTTGTGGATGAGATCCAGACTCTACTTGATGAAAGTGTAAAGGCCTCGTGTGAAGGGTTGATGGTGAAGATGCTGGACACTGAAGAGAGTGGTTATGAACCAAGCAAGCGGAGCCGCAACTGGCTCAAGGTACGTCGAATAGACCCGAGCCTGATTTGTGTCTGTTACTAACTACGCCACTAGGTGAAAAAGGATTACCTCGCCGGAGTCGGCGACTCCCTAGATCTCGTGGTTTTGGGTGCATATCACGGACGAGGCAAGCGTACGTCAGTGTACGGTGCCTTCCTTCTAGCTGCTTACAACACGAGCACGCAGACCTACGAGACGGTCTGCAACATTGGCACAGGTTTCTCGGAGGCTGACTTGGAGGAGCTTCATAAACAACTTTCTCCTATCGTCATTGACCGGCCGAAGCCGTTTTACTCCCACTCAACTGTCCCCAAAGATCAGCCGGATGTGTGGTTCGAGCCGCGCTTTGTCTGGGAGGTCAAGACTGCTGATCTAACACTGAGTCCGCGCTATAAGGCTGCGGCCGACGAGTTTGAGGGAACTACTGGCGGAGGCAAAGGGATTTCTCTTCGATTCCCACGATTCATTAAAGGCCGTGATGACAAGAAGCCCGATGAGGCGACGACGACTCGGGCAGTGGCGGAGATGTACCGCAAGCAAGAGGCGGTGCAAAAGGAAAATGCTAAGAAGGGAGTAGACGATGACTTTGAGTACTGAGCCGAGAGTTCTGGCTGTTCTGGCTGTTCTGGCTGTCCTATCTATTACGTACATACATACTGGAAGCCCAGGTGCTGTGGTTGAAGCTCCAGCCCGTTGATTAATCAACATAGATAATGAATGACTATGAGATGTCTGATGTATCGGTTACACTCGCCTCGCCTCGCCTCGCATCGCATCGTACTGGGTATCTCCTCATAAACCCACAATATTAGCAAGCAAGCAATCAGACCATGTGAATGACAGCAATGCAAGACACTTCAGGGTGCCAAGCAGCAGTCGGGAATGTGTATCAACTTGGCATTGCAACCCAAGACTTGCAACCCGCCCTTGCTTGTCCACTTTTTTTGTTGCTGCTTATCCTGATCGGGCAGGTCCCTAACTGACTCCCTCATTTCATCATTGCACTCTCCAAACCACTCACTCGCTCTTCGTCTTCTCGGCCTGGTCTTCTTGACCTCATAAATAGGCCCCTTTGTCTGACTCTCCTAGTTTGTGTTCTGTGCAACGCGAACTTTCTCACCGGAATCTGGATTGCGACCTGTGTGCGATTGTTCTACAACGTTATCATGGGAGCTCTACGATGGCTCTCCATTCTTGCTGCGGCTTCAGCGGCTTCAGCACTGACCCCCGAGTACGAACTCATGGCGCAATCACAATCGTATTGTTGCTGATGTCTCATATCCTGCAGGCAATTGATTAGTGCTCCGCGGAGAGACGAAGTCATCCCCAATCCATCTGGAGTATGTCGCTTGATCCGATCATAGATCTTTAGAGGACTGACAACATCAGGCTCTCGGTTTCTTCTCCGTCTCCCAGTACTCCTTTGACACCCATTCCGGAAGCTCATGGTGGAGTCTGATTGACCTGAAATCGGGTGAGACCAGTACTCTCACGAATGACAGTAATGTCTCTGAGATCATCTGGCTTGGCACGGATGACTCCACTATTCTCTATATCAATAGTACCAACGCAGACATTCCCGGTGGTGTCGAGCTGTGGATCTCAGATATCGCAGACTTCCAGAACGGGTAAACTCAAAACTCTCCGTTCGCTGTTGATGAATGATACCTGACAATGACATGCAGATACAAGGCAGCCTCCCTACCAGCGAACTTCCTCGGTCTCAAGACAGCTGTCACGGACTCGGGTGATGTGCGGTTCATTCTTCGTGGCAAGGCTTATGGCAATGGCACGGCCTACAATGAGAAGCTAGCCGAGAAGTCCCTGAGCTCAGCTCGCATCTATGACAGCCTCTACATCCGCCATTGGAACACGTACCTTACCCCACCCTCTCATGCTGTGTTCTCAGGCACATTGAGCAGTTCGGCTGGCGGTAACAGCACGGGTCGTTATGCTTCAGAAGGTGGTCTTACGAATCTGGTGTCCCCCATCAAGAATGCCGAGAGCCCTTATCCTCCCTTTGGAGGAAACTCGGACTATGATCTCTCGCCCGACGGCAACTGGGTAGCTTTTAAAAGCAAGGCCCCGGAGCTACCTCGTGCCAACCTTACTACTTCTTACATCTTTCTTGTGCCTCATGATGGTTCGAAGAAGGCTGTTGCAATCAATGGACCCAAGAGTGCCGTCACTCCTGCTGGGGTTCAAGGAGATTCTAGCAACCCCGTCTTCTCTCCGAACAGTGACAAACTTGCATACTTCCAGATGGAAGACAGACAGTACGAATCCGACAGGCGCACCTTGTACGTCTATACTATTGGTGCTAATGAGTCTATCACCACACTTGCCAAGAACTGGGATCGATCGCCAGACACGGTAGCTTGGGTCGATTCAGACAATCTTGTCGTTACAAGTGAGGACTACGGTCGAACCAGGCTTTTCGCTATTCCAGCGGATGCAGGAGATGACTTCAAGCCGAAGAATTTCACCGACGGTGGCTCTGTATCGGCGTACCATGTCCTGCCAGATTCCACTATCCTTGTCACCGGAAAGGCCATGTGGACTAGTTGGGCTATCTATACAGCTAGTCCCGACCAGGGGGTCATCAAGACACTGGCATCCGCCAACGAGATTGATCCCGAGCTTGCTGGATTGAGCTCTGCTGATATTGATGAGTTTTATTATCAAGGTAATTGGACCGAGGTAAGTCTAGTATACCCTGCCTCTTCTCACCGGACAGGCACTGATCGGGTTCTCAGATTCATTCCTGGATCATCTACCCGGAGGGCTTCGACAAGAGCAAGACTTATCCTTTCGTTCTATACATCCACGGTGGACCCCAAGGCTCATGGGCCGATTCCTGGAGCACGCGCTGGAATCCCAAGGTCTTCGCCGATCAGGGCTACGTCGTCATCGCCCCGAATCCAACAGGCAGTACTGGCTTCGGGGACGCCCTCACCGACGCCATCGCAAATGACTGGGGTACGACCAGACCCTTTTTCTCTCCACTCCTTGGGATCTCACCATGCTAACCATACTCCAAGGAGGCGCTCCCTACGACGACCTCGTGAAAGCCTGGCAGCACGTCCACGACAATTTCGACTTCATCGACACCGACCACGGCGTCGCCGCCGGCGCCAGCTACGGCGGATTCATGGTCAACTGGATCCAGGGCTCGGAGCTGGGCCGCAAGCTCAAGGCGCTCGTCTCTCACGATGGGACATTCGTCGCCGATGCGAAGATCGCCACCGACGAGTTGTGGTTCATCGAACATGACGTGCGCTCCCCCTTTCTTCTTTACACACACCCTCTATTCTCATCACACCTGTCCCCCACCTACCCACCCCCCCCCCCAATCAAAAGCCAACCCTCCCTAACTTCATGCAACATAACAGTTCAACGGCACCTTCTGGGCCAACCGCGACAACTACCGGCGCTTCGACCCCTCCGCTCCCGAACGGATCCTCCAGTTCGCGACCCCGCAGCTCGTCGTCCACAGCGACAAGGACTACCGCCTCGACGTCGCCGAGGGCATCGCCTTGTTCAACGTCCTCCAGGAGCGCGGCGTGCCGAGTCGGTTCTTGAACTTCCCGGATGAGGATCACTGGTGCGGTTTGCCCTTTCCGCTTTTCATTGTTTTTTTCTTGAATTTGTGCGACAGCGCGAACTAATCCATGCAAACTATAGGGTTACCAACCAGGAGAACAGCCTCGTCTGGCATCAGCAGGTTCTCGGTTGGTTGAACCGGTACTCCGGCGTGGAGGAGTCGAACCCGCACGCCGTCCGGTTGGAGGACACGGTGGTTCCGGTGGTGGATTTCGACTCTTGATTTGTCAGGCGGGGTGGATGGATGGCTTTCCATCTCTTGTATCTACTGTCTCCCTCGATGCTCTCGGGGAGATACATGGTGACAGAATACTGGACCAATAAGTGTTCATTTATGCATTCCAGCTACGACCTGCTGCGGTGTAGACGGGTTCCGTAGACGCAGACAGTTCTCCACTCTGTAATAGCCACTATCTCTCCCTACATTGAAAACGAATCAATCTCGACGAGCTCCCCATGTGACTATCGTCATATCTATGCATACTGCGAATCAAGAAAGATATCCAATCATATATCAATTTATCGTCACTCCAGACGGTGGTATAGCAGAGTATGGTATCAACAATCGGACCAAAAACAAAAACAACAAACAGGCACATGCATATGCACATGCAGCGACGAATGACTGGGAAACACATGACATGGATAGGTGTATACACTTCATCAACCAATCGCTGACTCACACACTTGCCGATCGCAAATCGACACTGAAATTCTTTTTTTCCCCTTCTTCCCTCGATCAATCAGCCAGAACACATAACAACGAGAACAAACCAAGACTCGCCGGCAAAAAAAAAGTCATCATGATATATAGCCTCTTCATCGTCGTCATCATCCTACTAAGCCAGAGAATAACATCAAATCACAGATACTAGAGCCCAAAATACTCAGTCGGAGAGTGTTGTGCCCAAGCTCATGTAGCAGATTACAACTCCCCACCATGAGGAGGGGTGACATCGAAGTCAAGGTCGAGACCCCCGGGCCCATCCTTGGCCAAGAACCCTTGCTGCCGGACGCGGAGCCCGAAGTTGACCATGACGATGGCTACCAGGCCCAGCCCGACGACGGTGGGGCCCCACTTCTCGTAGTACACGCGCTTGACGTCGCGGCGCTTGCGGATCTTGTCAACGCGCCAGATGTACAGCATCAGACTGTAGATCAGCGACAGCGAAGCCAAAATGGTGAACGCCCACGAGGAGGCGAAGGTGATGTAGTCGTCGCCGAAGTTGAGGAGGGTGGCGGCGATGGTGGCGAGGAGGATGGAGAACTCGAGCCACGAGAGGAAGGTGCGCTCGGCGGCGAAGTAGACTTTGGGCTCGACACGGACGGGCACGTGGATTCCTGGTAATTGTGTTAGAGTTCGTGGTTCTTGTATGGGTGAAATGGCTCAGAAAGTTAAGGGGGCGCCGCAAGACTCACGTTTGCCTTTGGGAGCGTGGAACCGCTTGACAGTACGCTTGTTGCCGATGACGGCGATTCCGCTTTGCTCGGGTGCTGGGAGACTGGTGGGCGTAGGTCGGGGGATGAGGGATTTGAGGACATGGATTAAGATAGAGCCGGCGTGCTCGGTGTAGTATTTGGCCAGCTGCTTGTAGTAGTATGTGCCACCGACCCGACGAGCTTCTTCCAACTCATCCGAGTCGATTGATGACTCTTGATCCGAGTCATAGAGCGGGTAATCCTCGTCGCCTGGAAGCGGTAGAGCGGCGATGCGTTCTTCGATGTCTAGCGCGTTGCCATCTGAGTCTGCGAACAGCGCATGGTGGTCAGCATCGGCAGCCTCGACTCGATGCACACCATTCGGCCACTGGCCTGCGCTCTCATCCTCATCCTCCGAGATCTCGTCTTCCGGTGTTTCTGTCGCGGATAATGACGTGCTGGGCAGCGGACGTGTGATTCCAAACTGGCGGGTGGCTGGCTTGCGGATGTCGACGTCCATCTGCGGCATCCAGAATGGCAAAAGGTTGATGCGGTCAGGGAATAGCGTGGCCGTGCCGTGAATAAATTTACTGTACTTCGGAACAGCTTCGACCAGATGGCTAGCTGTCAGCTCCCTGATCCACTTGGGTGGCTCCTGGCCCGCCTGTGTTTGTAGCTTGACTTCCAAGACGGCATAAGGAAAACGCTCCACGTCCTCAGGGGGCAGTTGTGAGAACGGATAATCAACACCAATGTCCATGCGACGCCAGTTGTCGCCAGCTCTGCGGCGACCGTCAAGGTTGTCCTCTCGAACCATTGTCAACTCAGTATCAAGAGAGATACGCACACGAGCGTCTCCGGGAAGTTGGAAGGCTGTGCGGTGGTAGAAAGATCGGGTGACTGGTACAAGTCGTCGCGTGATGACTCGATACTGGATTTCCCGCGCCAATTGCTCGAGGTTGGCGATTTCCTCCTCGCTCTTCTTACCTTCCCTGCGCATCTTCTCGAAGATTTGTTCCACCGTCAAGCGACCAGCCAGGTAGTCGTTGACATGCTTCTCTTTCAGCGAGAAACGCGCCTTGACCGACTTCTCTCCAGTCCAATCCTCCCGGTGGGTCTTGCGCTCCACGAAGATTTGATCGCTCTCCATGCCACCATACCAACGCAATCGGATAGCCTCCGCACCTTCGGTCTTCTTCAGGCGACCTTGGTATAGTTCCCAGGTATCAGTGTTGTCGTAATAAATAGAGGAAATAGCAGCGTCCTTCTCCTCAAACTCTTTGCTTGGGTTGAAGACTAGAACGGGAAGGTGCTATTTCATCCTATTAGCACACGAGGGAATTGACGAATCACGGTGAGCTGCTTACCTTGAGGATAATCAGTTTGAGCTCGGTGATATTGTCTGGGTGTACCCAATACTTGGTGGTTTGACGGACAAAGTTCTGCTGGCTTCCACCGGCCGCAGAATCACCCTTGACGGGGTTACCCTTGGTCCGCACAAGATCGTAGAGCTTGGACAATTTAACCACTAGCGCATCATAGTTGTCGTTGAAAAATGGCTTGGCATTGAGGCGCGCAGCGAATACTGGCTTCAGATGCCACCCCGTTTGTTTCTGCATGTAGCCGTTAGCGGGCGCTCCAGTTTCCAAAACAGTCCCATTCAGTGGATGATGTCATTCCGGGTTTCAAAAGACCACTCACATCATGCTTCTTGATGATTTTCTGAAACCCCGTATAGTTCAATTGCGTAAACTTGGCCAGGTCATGTACGTCGGCGATGATGTCGCTCAAGGCCTGCTCGAGCACTAGGAAATCCTCGTCTGAGGGCGGACTGCGGTTGGGTCGGTTGTGGGAGACACTGTCGGAACGGGCACTGGTGGCAGCCTCAAGGCGCGAGACGACATCGTTGACCTCTTGTTCGCTCGCCTGGATGCGACGAGCAATTTCGGCGCTCTTGATCCGCTGGAAGTTGAAGACCTTGTCCAATTCGCTCTCCAGCAGCGTCACGAAGTGCTTCTCGTCGTCTTCCGACCAGGGCTGGCGATCGGGGCTGGCATTTTCGGGAGTGGGCTCCGTGACATATCCGGTCTTCAGAGCTTTCTTGAGTTCTTCGTAGGCGATGTAGTACCAGTAGTACTCCTTGATCATGGACGATCGGAGGTGCTCCCCGAACCTAGAGAGAAGGGTGGAATGGTGAGTGGAGCGGTTTCGTCTTCCAAGGAGCAATTGTAGTGGACCAACCTCATGCTGAAATATTTCTAACGAGTCGCGCAGATATCCAAGTAAGCTGGGTGTATGCGAAGGGTGAGAGAATAGGTAGAGTAGAGGAAGAGAATGGGGTGGGCAAGTGTCAGGTAAAGAACATGATGCGGACGCAGGGGGGAAAGCGGGAAGGCGGAGAAGACGTTGGAAGCGAGACTGAACGAAGAAGGAATAGGCCGGTCAACTGAGAATTGGATGAAAAAAATGGAGAAGCTGATAGACGACGGCTAGTCCCAGAAGAGGCGACGAGAATGGAGAAGTTTTTCTTCGGTGATGAGTGAGAGACAGGGTTGAGGGAGCCTGGAGAGGAGCTATGATGGATAATGGATAGCTTCGAGGTTCTGGCCATGGATTGGGGGGGAGGGCCCAGAAACGACGTCAACCCGTGACTGCAATCGATAACACGGCTCCATTAGTGGTCCGGGCGCGTCTTATTCATCACCACCTCAGCTCTCGAAGGCAACAAAGACCACGGTAAATTGGCCACATTAATCGACCGAAGTGGCAGTTGGTTGCGCGGAGTGGTGTTGTTTGAGTTGACCAGTAAACTAGGTAGGGGACTACATCTCAACTAGGTAAAGCATTAGAGAGGCGAGTATACTAACTAAGTGTTAGTGTCAAATTGTTTGCTCATGGATTGTCAGCCAGTCGATTTAGCAGGTGCTGCTCTAAATCAGGGCGCTTTGCTGCCTTAGGTTTAGCCCGAGTCGACACGAGGTTTGCAGCTCTTCTCCACCCGCTGCCGCACCGCTGCGATCGTCCCCAACCTTGCCGTCCCATTCTCATTCTTCTTCTCTTTTCACGGCTGGTAGATTCGATATAGCACTGTCTTCTGTTGAATTGTACAATCCGGCAAATGACTCGACTAGCCCCCGTGGGCCTTGAAAAGCCCTCTTGCATCAACCGAATCCATTCGCACGGCGCAAAAACTGCTCTGGGGTTTTGTTCTATCTCGGAATAGCCGAGCACTATATATATTTGACTCACCTGGATTATTACTTCAAGGTTGTTGCCTGTGTCTCTCCTCGCCTGTCTAGACCGATCGGCTCCGATGCAAAGGACTAGAACTCATAAAGTCACCAATTAAGATGAGTAGCGATGCTAACCGGGTACTAGACTACGGCAGTGGCTAACTTAACATGCAGCTAGCAGGATAGATTCTGCAATTTATCCCACCAGGCTATAATATCGAGACCGATATTGGTAGAACCCAAGACTGTAGTCTAGTTTCTACACTAGCGAGCCACCTGTTTCAATCAGCAAACAGGCCGGTGTTTGAATGTGGCTCGGGGACTGGATCGCAACAAATAACATTAGTTGCCCAACAGCACTAGACTATTGAGGCACGTGCTCTTTGGCCGGATTGGAATCTTGACTGGGCAGTGACGCCGGCGCCCGGCACAAGCAGCGCAGCGTCCCAACCGAGAATGTGTCTGTCCATCAGTGACGCCGACTTTGCATGGTCGTGAGATGGTGCACATATCAAAACTTAGTTGCAACATCTACCTAGGGCGTGCATCAGCCCTGCGGTAAGATCGAAGATAGTCCTTCAGCCACCGCCGCGTAGGTCAATAAACATGTAAGTAACCGAAAGTCCCTGCATCGGCCTGGTACGATCTAAGCTTCGCTGGACATAA